AAAAAAAAAATTTGTCCCGACGATCTATCTTCTATACGCAAATGGCTACCATATTGAAAAATATACTATTTTTGTATGATAATTATGGGTTTTGTATTTTATTTTAATAGAAGTTGATGTTGCTTTTGCAATTATCCATCAATTTTTTAAAATTAAACACTATCTACAGATTTGCATCGAAGCGTTTCTTATGATAGTGATTTTAATCACTGTCAGATTAAATCTATACTGGACCCTACTATGCAATGTCTCCACTATGCCGCGACCCCACTGTGCTACCGTTTTTTTATTTTTATATCTTATCATATTAATTAATTTAGTAACAATTATATCCATAATGTCTGCATAAGATTGGTAGGTGAATATGAGGCAGCATCCATTAGATGAATATTAAAATGATCGTTATTATGTTGTTAAAATGACTAATGAAAATAACATGACCTTCTTCTCAATAATGATTTCATTATTTTTTAACTTTATAATTGATAATAAATAATGAATCATGAAATAAAATTTTACAATATAATGACTTAATAAACCCTGATAATGTTATGATATACTCTTTATTTCACAATATGAAAGAAAAGTAAAGATAAGGAAAATACTGTTTGAAGTAGGTAAATTAAAATTTCTATTTTTGGATGCCTACCCCTACGCAAATAATAAATTTATGAAAATCAGATGTTAAGGGTGAACAGTAAGTTATAAGAGATTACGAGATGATATAATTTAGTGATATTATAGTATTTTGGCTTATTAACATTATGTTAATGTCAATGTAGCACATAGTACGACATCTAACATGTCATATTATAATTAATAGGAAGAAACAGATGTTATCAAAATAAGGTGTAATATTAGTTTTGATGAGCGGTGTCATAATAACAATTGATGAATTAAAGCAGAAAAATGTCAAGCTGCCACTAGCACTTTAAATATTTTATTGATTTCTTTAAAAATTGATTTTTATTAAGACACAGTAAGTCGCATGAATTGTAAAAAAATCTATACGTTGTGTGAATTAATAATTTATTTTTTGAGGCCACTTATTAATTTACTCATCGAATTTCGCTTTTGTGGATTTTATAGTATGTGTTTTTACGTCGTTAATCCATTCAAGTTATTTTTTTAACATTGAACACTCCTAAGATGAATAGACAGTTGGTTCTGAATAATGTGTATGTATATCCAAGTACAGCGTGGGCGCGACTGATTTCCACAGGTATTACGTTTCACAAATAAAATGCGCCAAGGTTGATCAGTTGTCCGGTACAAACTTTGTTTGCACATGGCCGACAGCTGAATAAGTCCGTTTTGTATACTCTCATCTTTCTTTATGTTTTGTTGACTTTATGGTACGAAATAATAATGATTGTGTTTACAATGCGTTGACATTTTATGACCCTTTCGATGTATACTGTCAAGGCCGGTACCAATTTAGTATGTCAAACACAGCAAACAAATTATTAAAAAAATCAAATTCGATAGTTCTTTAACGCATAACGTTAATTAATTTACCTTTCATATATACTTTTAATCTCTTAAAGAACTTTTATTAAAGTAATTTTTATTTTATTTTCATCTATTAAAAGTATATTCATTATCAGTGTTAAGCATAGATAACCAAAAAAACAATCTAGCAAAGATAATAATTTTTAATTTTCATCTAAATAAAAAAAATGATAACATGATTTTTATCTATTTAATATAATAATCTATTTAATATAAAAAAAAATTTAACAAAATAATCGTTTAAAATTTAAATAACAACATATTTATATTATTTATTGATGATTATAGTAGGGTGTTTTAATTATCTAATTACCATCTTACTTAAGATGGTGTTCAGTAAATAAGAAAATACTTTCAAAGATTAAGTTGAAAAAGTTCTTTTTTCTATATGCATTTTTAAGTTTTGAATCCCTCCCGTATAAAAGTAAATGGTCCGATTAAAAAAAAAAAAGTATGTTGAATGAAAGAGGTATATAAATACTATTTCTCATAAAAAAATTGTATTAATCTATACATTTTTTGAAAAGTTATATGAATATAAAGTTAAAAGTATAAAAAAGAATTTTTTTTCAAAAATCCTACTTTTATTATTAACTTTGATGTCCATTTTCACCATGAAAACAAAATAATGTCCAAATTTTTTTTCCAAAATAAAGTACATTACATTAGCTTTAATTTAAGGTATATATAAAAGTGTCATTATTTCCGGAAGACTTTCAAAAGTTGAGTTGAAAAAGTTAATTTTTTGTGAAAAAGTTGTAATTTTTAATTCCATTCTGTGATCTAGTAAAGGGTTAGATTTATAAAAAAAATTATATTAATTTGATCATTTTTGAAAAAGCTATGGCAGTTTTAAGTAAAAAAAATTTAAAAAATTAGCGATTTTTAAATTTGTAATTTATTTGGAGATTTCCCACATTTACGGGGAACGAGGGAAAATTTTTAAATTTTTGAGGGTAATACGATTTGTGATCTTTTAATGTATCGTTGAAAAAAATCAGTTTGGTGAAAGCTGAGAAAAAGTGGTTAACAGGCACAAAAATAGTATTTAATATTAACATAAACCAAAAATTAATAAAATTAATGTTAATTAAATATATGAACAATATACATATAAATATCAATTAGAATATCAGTAACTATTTAATAATTTATAATTTTTGTTTGAAATTTATAACATATAGTAAAAGAAATAATAACAATCAAATGTTTGCAGTTACTTAATAATAGAGGTGCCCACAAAAAACAGCTATACCAGTATTGTATAATTGACCTACAGTTACTTAGCACTTAATAAAAAGTCATTAATACCCATAAGCAGATTTCGCTATTCTTTTAAAATCTTGTAAAAAAAAATCGAGTTATACTTTACAATAAATAAATGCGACTGGTGAAATATTTATATTTGAAATTAAAATACTCTCTAATTTAAAATACTATTTATATCTATTGCGACGAGTGTATGTGTCTAAAATGTACACGTTATGTATAAATTTCATGAGAAAAAAATCATTATGGGTATTCCCTATCCTAATTAAAATACATGCATAGAAAGGCAGTAATGATATTAAGAAACTCAACGATAACAAATGATTATAATCATTGGTTTTAAATTTAAATTCCGTCAAAAATAATATGCTACCGTTCGAACACAGCAAGCCGTCAATGCCGTGAGACTGTAAATAAATATTTTTATTCTTAGAAATACCATAGACACTAGTGATGAGCATTTTTGAATATTTTAAATTATTCGAATTGTTTTAATGCAACCAATTAGTTTATTTTTATTATAAACTATCAAATATTTATACAACTATCAAATGGTTTTAAAGAATATTCAAATAGTTCTACTTAAAATTTGTATTAAGTACACTTAATTATAATAAGAAGACAATTAACAAGTACTTAAAATGAATTATTATAAGTGATGGGCATTTTCGAATAGTAATCGATAAACCGAATAGTTTATTTTGAACATATACTATCAAATAATGATTAATTGATACATAATCGCCAAAGGAAACATGTCTCTCAATAACATAAATTCATGAATAGTAAACCTATAAGAGTAATTATCATTGAATTAGCCATATGGCGATACTGTATATTCTTATACTTAAGAAATTTATCGTAGATATTGTGTACACACGTTTTCTGATTTCTTTTTACTATGTCTACCATTAAATTTAATATTTATGATAACCCACGTTCACTGACAATTTTCAAGCGATTTTTAATGATTATGATTACCAATATCAAATAAAAACTGTATTTTAATGATCCAGACGTAACGCTAAAATTAAAAAATACTTAAAGTTATTTAACAAGCCAATGATGTCACATCCAAAACTGTTGAATGGGCTCTTTATGAACATTTAGACTAAAATAGCATATTATACGCGTTTATTGCGTTTCATCGAAGAAATCTAATTTTATTATATCCTTTTAGGTCTTCGCATTCCACGACTTCAGTCAAAACGATCACTACGGTTATCAACCCCCACAAACAAAGTGATTCATTTGAAACTAGCCACTCGATTTATTTAATTTTTTGGTTTTTGTTGGTTACATATGTATATTAATTTATATGTTATAAAATATTTATTATGTTTATCCATTATGACTTATAGGGGTGTAAAGTTTATTTTTTTTTAACGNATAGCATATTATACGCGTTTATTGCGTTTCATCGAAGAAATCTAATTTTATTATATCCTTTTAGGTCTTCGCATTCCACGACATCAGTCAAAACGATCACTACGGTTAACAACCCCCACAAACAAAGTGATTCATTTGAAACTAGCCACTCGATTTATTGTAAAATAATTTTTTGGTTTTTGTTGGTTACATATGTATATTAATTTATATGTTATAAAATATTTATTATGTTTATCCATTATGGCTTATAGGGGTGTAAAGTTTATTTTTTTTTAACGACAACGTGCATACTCAACTAGCTTATAAAATATAAAATGATATAGTTAAGAAAATACTAATCGATAACAAATGTTGGACTAGTATTTCAGAAGTCATTATTAATTTTATTTCTAGGCGGGGAGGAGTAAGAACAAGAGTAACAAAAATAACAGCACCCACTCCTCACTTTCAGCCTTTACTTTAACTTGTTAATAACTTCTGAAATACTGGTCTGTTATCGATCAATAATTTTCATAATTGCATAATTTTTAATTTTATAAATTAAATATTTATGTTTCGGTTTATAAAAATAATGTAAGACACCTCTAGAAGTTATGAAGGATGAACATAAAAATATTTTATAACAGATAAATAGATATAAGTATGTAACTAACAAAAGTCAGCAAATTATTTTAGGAGAAATTTAGTGGCTAGTTTTAAAAGAATCATTCTGTTGTTTTTATTTCTCGAAAAACCTTCAAGGTCAAGTGAGTTCCCTCGTTTTTGCATAGCGTGATTAAGGTCCGTCAAAAAAAAAAATATATATATATATATATATGTATGTAGATTTATACTATTATTTAATCTTGATAGACTTTTACTGAAATTAAATTCGAAGGCGTAGTTCTTTATAATCTCTCTCTAGACAAAGCCAAATTGGCCCATCCTTAAAGTAAAGTGAAACAATGAGATTAATCACATTTGCCATCGAATAGGAACTCCTTACTACGCGCAAACAACAGCATTTCTATAATAGGTCACTACAGTAATAGTATGCTTTTAAAATAATTAAATCAATACCTTATCTATAAAGAATGCCGTAAAACATTTGTATGAATTACTAATGACAATTGGTTATATTACTAATACAATTGTCATGGTTAATGACAACTGTAATGATTACTTATTTATTTATGTTTTTGATTTTTTACGTTTATATTTGTTTGTAATACCTAATAATACGTTTTAGTCTAGTCTGGCTATTAACTCGTTGGTCTCGAGTTTAACGTACAATCATGTAAAAACATAAGTATACCTAAAATACCAAGTTAAAAAACTTCCGAAACATAACATTGCATTAGTACCGATTTATTGTGTACATAGAAAGTACGTGCACGTATGACTTATCTTACAAAAACATCACCTTAAAAGGTCATGAAATTATGTACCAATTATCTTCAAGTCGGTCGCACTAAGAGTACTTATGCAAACAAACACCACACGACATTTCCGACGTTGTCGTTGAATAATTATTCGTGTTCTCCGAGTTAAGATAACCGAGTGAGGAGAACTGTTGATCCAGATAATACAATTTTTATATTATTGTTGTTATCAATAACAATAGTATTGTCCGACCAGGTGTTGACCTTGATCCTGTTGACTGGTGCTATGGACGCCACGGTCGGTCGTCACGCCGCCCAGTCAAAGCCTTACAGGACAATACGTCTAGATGTTAGAAGATCGAATGGCCACAAGTGCAACCTTATATCTGACTGCACGTACAGTGCGAGATGATCTCAAGTGCCATACAGAAAAATCGACGGAAAATAAAAACGGGTTTATCGGCGCGCGGACTTAAAAGGTAATGGCCGGAGGGGATATATGACTTGTCCGGCTGTACGCGGCGGTATTCTTCTGTACTAGTAATCATTCATACTGCGGCGCGTTTCCCTCCATCGTTGGATTTTCGCGGCCCACGTCTGTGCTCTGGCCAGAGTGCAGTACTATAGTAGTACCGCAGCGTCGTCAGCGCGTGTTGGAACAAGGCCTGCGAACACACACTCCTAACTAACAAATCGACCGAGTAGCACGCGCTGTTTTTTCGCATCGCTATTCTCTTGATCCGCTTACGGTCAAGTCTATTTATGGCCTGCCATAAGACGATCGACGGCAGTGTCCGTAACTGAACGTTCCGATCGACGTCCGCGAGTGATATATTATTGGCCATTTTTTTTTTTTTTAGTGTTGACACTTGCTATTAAAAAAACATCCAAGAGTCCGCTTTCCAATCGAGGGAACATATCATCATGGGTCGCAAAATTCCACTGAGCAACTCGTGTATGGGTTTTTCACTGAAGACTGGTGCCATCACCAGTGGCGTTTATGGCATTGTAATTATTACCTTTTTTCAAATAGATTAACAAACGCGACAAAAACAACAACGCGTATCTGCAAATTACTTAAAAAAAACGTACAAACTTTTGGATAAGTGTATTTTTGTATTNACTTGCTATTAAAAAAACATCCAAGAGTCCGCTTTCCAATCGAGGGAACATATCATCATGGGTCGCAAAATTCCACTGAGCAGCTCGTGTATGGGTTTTTCACTGAAGACTGGTGCCATCACCAGTGGCGTTTATGGCATTGTAATTATTACCTTTTTTCAAATCAATTAACAAACGCGACAAAAACAATAACGCGTATCTGCAAATTACTTAAAAATACGTACAAACTTTTGGATAAGTGTATTTTTGTACTCGGTGGATTGGCACGGGCATTCGTGATTTAAAAACAACCTACGCCAAAAAGTTCAAGGACGTGGTGGGTGGGATACGCGAATGCGTTTAAAGGGCATTGCCTACTCTGGTTCCAGATGATAGAAAATTGGTCATTAGTCGACCTACATTAAAAATATTTAACACTTTGGTAAAAAACCAGAATTTACATAATTCTGAAAATAAAGCCATAAAAATAATTTGGTATAAAATATTTCAACAGATGTATTGAAAATAAATTCTGTTCAGACACGTAACTGATAGACGCGATTTTGGAAATTAAATTAAGAAAAAATTTAGTGGTTAATTTTTCTTCGACCCTGTACGAGTTTTATACATTTTAGTGATCCAAACCTCACGATTGTCTGGATAAGTACCAGAATTCAAGTTTTAATTACTTTAATCTAAATAATTTTTTTAGTATTTAATTGGTCTTGACAATATTTCAAAAAAAATAATAATAGTTTTAAAATCAATTGATTTCATAGCTTTAATTTTAAAAAAAAATTCTTATTTACAATTTGTCTTAATTTTAAATAAGAAATAATAATTCTTAAAATTATTTTGAATAGTTAGATAATATCTAACAAAAATTTCGATAGAAAGTTATGATTTTCAAAAATTATAAGTAGATTTTTAGTGAACAACAAATTTTAGTGTAATCTAAAGTTTACTGCAATGTATTACAGAAAACTTGGGTACCGATATAATTTTTTATGTATTGGACAATAAGAAAGATATTATTGGAACACTGTCACCTTCAATTTTTTTGTTAATTACCTATGATTTATCTTTTTTGCAAAATTACCGACACTTATGGGAATAAACATTTCAATCAATGAATCAACCGCCTAAAATATGTATTTCGATTGCAATACTTACTGTGTATAGGTATCAACGTCGTTAATAAAAAAATGTTTCATATTGATAATAGAAAAATTAATTGTCCATGTTAATTATAAACAACAATATGTTATTACTAGTTTAAAATATGCTAAGTCGGGATAATTTCTGATGATAACATCTGTGTTTAGTCGACTGCATGTCTATAAATTATTATAGTAGTGAGAAGATTTAACTTTACAAATTACGACCTGACATTCAAAAAAGGGAACAGTGTTAAAAACTATCAAAATATTTCCGTTCGAGTTTACTTTCTTCATTTTAATGCTCTGATGTTCTTCCAAAAAATAAATAATCATATGTTGAAAATATCATGCACCTGTTAGAAGTTATCATTGAAAATATAATGTTTATTTAGTTGTTACAATACAGAGAAAATAAGGAAACGTAATAAAAATGTTAAAATCATGTTCATAAAAAAAATCTTAAAATTGTTTAGGATACAACTTTTCATAATAAGGTATATACAATAAAAAATATGATAATATAAATAAAAAATAATATAATATAAAATATATACGTTTAATATAACGTTAATTTTAAACATTGTTATGAAATTAATTGTGTAATCTTTGACTACTAACAACCTTCTATCAATTTAAAAATTTAATAAGTTATTCGAACATACAATATATATTTTTTTGGAGGTAATGTTGTCTTATACTATTTTTATAAGTTAATAATCATTTTTTAAATCATAAATACTTGATAACAATTGTCCACTTGTTTATACAAATTTATCATTCCAAAAATATTTGACGGGTGTAATCTAACATACTTCTGTTCACGTTTATTTAGGTGATTAAAACTATTATCTCTCATCCAAAAATATATTGTTGAATGATAATTACATTTTAACCTACCCATAGGTAGGTTATAATAAAAAAACCGTTTAAATTATATTTCATAAAATAATACCTATGCACTCATTTCAGTAACCTTAAATAGGTATGCGTTAGACTAGAATTATGACACAATGATTAATCCTTTTTTGTGACTACCAAAAATAACTTTATAATGACTACAGTAGAGCCGTCTGCGTCCGTTCAATCGAACTGTTTAGTGCATGTGGCTAACGTATTAGTGATTTATTTAAAGTAAACATGTTTTTATATAGTAATTTTTGTATAACTTATCTTAACAAAAATGAATTTCTAAAGGTTGTTTTTCGAACTATATGTGATAGGAATGTAATTGTACCACTTATTTGATAAACGACAAGTCACAACATTTTGGAAATCAAGTTTCAAATGCAATGTGTCTTTTATAGACAAATGCTTAATTTATGAATATTAAAAAAAAANAGCCGTCTGCGTCCGTTCAATCGAACTGTTTAGTGCATGTGGCTAACGTATTAGTGATTTATTTAAAGTAAACATGTTTTTATTTAGTAAATTTTGTATAATTTATTTTAACAAAAATGAATTTCTAAAGGTTGTTTTTCGAACTATATGTGATAGGATTGTAATTGGACCACTTATTTGATAAACGACAAGTCACAACATTTTGGAAATCAAGTTTCAAATGCAATGTGTCTTTTATAGACTAATGCTTAATTTATGAATATTAAAAAGAAATTAAGTTTTGAAAAATGTTAAAAAAATTCTGGAAAAAATACAGTGTCCGATGGAAGATTGTAGTTATAAATTTAATGTAATAATTAATGAGTTTATATCGCAAAAAGTATGTAAGTTCAAAACTTTCAAAACTACTTTTAAGGAAAAATAGGGTCAATTAATTGTTTTCATAATTATTCGGTGTAATTCATTGAATACTTTCATTAGCCGTTGTAGTTTCAACGCAACGCACTAATAATAGCCTAAAAACTGTTTTTACTGTTTTCTACTAGTTTAATATTTTGGATATAGGTTGTTTATTAAATAAATAGTTCAATTAAAAACGATTTAAATACCTCTTCAGTAACTAGTATGTTAGATATTTTATAAATAATACATCATATAATAGTATTAGATGCACAATACTATAAATAAATACGTTAAATTTTGATAATTTAGTAAAAGGCAAATGATTTATGATTTGAATTAATGGAAAACCATTAACGTAAATAATACCGATATTTCTTTGAAAAACAATTAATCAAATCTTGATAACTGTTAATTTTCATTTAATATTTAATTGTAGTTAAATGGACATTCATATTATTTGAAAATGAAAAAAATTAAATTTTGAGATACGACACAATATGTTTATTTAAAATTAAATTAATACCAAATTTTAAAAAATATATGTTAATTAAGATTACTTGCGCTGGATTTGAAAGTTAATCAATAAATTTGTCTATTCATTTAACTCATTAACTATTAATTTAAATGTATAAATCAAAATAATATCGTAAAATTTATAGCACTTAATTCTTAAATTAATTAACTAAAACCAATATTCAAAAACATTCAAAATTTTAATAGAATGTGGAGAGAATAAGAAAAGTGTTTTTTACATTAATTTTCTCCGGGATAAAATATTAGATGCCTCACTAAAAAAAATGTTTTCTGTTGTGTTTAAAATACAATTAAAATCATTTTTTTTTAATTTGTAAGATCAATTAAAAATCAGACTCATCTAATTTAAAACAATTTTTTTTCCTTATAATTATGAGCTTTGGATATAACAAACACATTAACTTAAAGCATCAACTTTTAAGTGATTAATTTTAATCATAGTTACTAATGTTAACAGATTGTCAATTCAGGAGAATCTTGATAACACAGGTGTCCCATTTTGATTTAATAATTTGACTATATAAAATTATGTTCAAATAAGTAAATCACTGAAGGACACCTCTATATTATTTAAAATTTCGCATACTTCGATTTTACATAAACATATAATATATGGTGCATTTATATTTTAAAACTGATAGCTGATAATCAACAAGTTTATCTAGTGACGCTGATTTCTGAGTAAAGGTCAAATATTTAAAATTTTTAATTTTGCAAACAATAATAACTATCAAGCTTGATTCCATAATAACATTTAATCGCAAATAAAATTAAATAATTATATATAATAATATGATACTAAATGTATACTTAATACTAAGGCAGCATTAGGTACAAACACATTTACTACAAGCGCATAAATCTAAATCTTACTAATCTAAAAAATTACCTTTTGGAAGGAAAAATAAAAGTGAGCGAAAAAATGTGTGTTTACTAATTGGATACTATATATTATTATAACTTCCAATATCGCGATAATCTTTTCACACCAAACATTAGGCCAATCACAGCCAATAAAAATCAATATTGGGCGTGACACAGCAAATTTGAGTCACAACAGTAACCTATTTTTGTAGCATTAAATAATAATTAATATATAAATATTATAATATTAGATATTAATACTTCAACCGATAAAATATTCATTTTCATATTTCATTTTAACTCTTATAAAAGAGAATCTATTTAAATATCAATCACTTAAGCTAACTCTAGACGATTGCTTTTATCTGAACGCTTGTTGAACATTTTTTATTTATGCGCTTGAAATTTACATGTAAGCAATTTTACTTAGTCGGCTCTCATTGTATGATGATAACGTGCAGACTATTTAGAGTAACGGGCACGTCGAAATATATGCAATAGATGAATTCACTACACATAATAAAGTGGCATGTGTTTTGTACAAACGTGCTTTCTGTGGTTAAATTATTGTTGAAATAGAATCAAACACTTATTAACGGTTTAAAAACCGCGTGCTCACATAAAAAACTACTTTCCTTTCAGTCAGATATAATTTTAATGGTATTTTGATAAGATATATTGCTATAAACAACGTATGATCTAAAAAAGAGCAAACGGTACGCCGTTAAGTCAAATACACAATTATTTATATCGTCTTGAACAAGAACTTAAGTGTTTGAATGCGGCTCTAAAATACGAAGGCCAAATATTAAAACTTTTTATAAATAATTTTCCTTGGCACAAAAATTACGTACGTTAAGCCACAAAATAAATTGTACAGTATTTATGTTTTTTTATTTGTATGATTTAATATCCATAATTTTCCTATAAATCGATTTTTCTTCAAGTATAATATACTATATTATAAAGCAAAGTTACCTCATACTATTGTCATTATATTATAATAATTTATTATTTCCTAGTAAAAAAATTACGGGTGTAGATGGGGAGGTATGAATTTCTGTAATAAATTAACGCAAAAGGGACCATAAACTAAAATTAAAGACTTATTTAAGTGATAAATATAAAAAATATTTATATTTTTAACGCCACTTATGTATTATAGTTTAAACTATACAGATTGATCTGTAACTAGGTCTTGTGCATGATCTTCATAAGTATAAGATAAAGTATATTTCTTCATTTCAGAAGTTACAATATCCTACTAACTTTAATTAATACACAAAATATATAGTTCAATACCCATTTCTCTTTCTTTAAAACTGTATCTATTTTAGTGTTTTAAATGGAAATCATACATGTTTAATTGACTTAAAAATAAGAAAATGACTTTTGAACCATTATTTTTAAAGATATAAAAAGGTGCTACATGGTACTTAGATATAAAAATAAAAATACTCGCTTTACACCTCCATGTTTTATTCTTAAGGGTTATAACTTACAAAATATTGATGCAAAAGTCTACTGGTCATTTTCTTATTTGTTTGTCGCTGCGTCTCTTGAGCAGCAATGAAACCAAATATTTTGCCCCATCCCATAAAAAATTTCTGCGAACGACTTTGGTCAGAAAATACTTTATTTTGTATAAATACAGGTGACATAATTTCTGGATTTTTGGCAATGTGGCTCTTCTGGAAACTTCAAATTTACTTAACATACATTTATTTATAGAACGACTTCTTTCGATTTCTTATTAAAATATGTTACATTATACATTTTTTATTCATTATTATTCATAATTTTCCCTCGTTTTTTTATTTTTATGTATTAAGACTTTTAACAAAGACAAATATATCGATAATTATATTCTATCCTATTATATTTGTAGATAGCAATAGCTTAAGGGCAAGTTAAGTGGGACATGTTTCCTTTTTGACAAAATTAAATTATAGAAGTTTTGTTAAGCAATAATATTAAATAGAGGTAGGCAACAAATGAATTAGAAAGAAAGAAAACTAACATATTAGTTTTAGTTTTCTTAAAATCTGGAACTTCTCTGTAAATTATTGATAGAGAATCTCTTTCAGATTTTAAAGACTTAGATATCTTACTTAATTGATGTCGTTCATTTTTTTGCTGAACTTTCTTTTAGGTAACTCTTTTTATTATAAAAAATTGCTCATCTTGGATTCCACAAAAGATAAAGTTGGCTTGATTTGTAAAACTATTAGATAAAATGATTATTTTAAAAGTCTCTTTCATTGGTGCAGGGTGAAAGATGGCTAGAAGACTTAGCAACAATATAACAATATACTTATATTATTGCTAATTATTAACAAACATATTTGTATAAATATAAAGTTAACAATTTAGTCTCCTCAACAATTTAGTAAAATTATATGCATTGTTATATAAAAAATTTTAAGTGGGAAAAATTAATTTAACCCTCTTAAAAAAATTGATTACCCTACGTCTATAAGAGAGATTCTCTCTTAAAATAAAATATTTTTAAAGTTACTATTAATTGTTTAGCTAGTTAAGTCTTTAAATTAAGTATGATGATTTTTTTAGTTAATGTAGAAAATTTCTTTTGTAGCTATTAAAATTATATCATTAGTATAATAAATTAATAATTATTAAATCAAAAATTATTTTTAAATATATATATGATACTCCAATACAAACACACATTAATTCATTACGATTTTGATTCCCAGGTGATTGCCATAATTACTTTAATAGTTATTTTGGTAAATGAAGACTTAAGAATACAGACTATTATCGTAGATTTTCTACCAAAGAGTGTTGGTAAGTACTCTAAATTAAAAATAAAACTTGACAGCTTTAAAAATTTTTAGATGAAAATTAATTACATATCCTTATATTTGTTTATAATTTACTTTTTGTTTTTAGTAAGAATTATAGTTGCAATTAATCTTATTATGACAATAGTTATCTGTTCTATACTATTAGCAGGAGTATTCATGGTAAATTGAATAAAAAAAATGTAAGTGTCATAAACTTATTAACATTTTAAAACTATTTCAGAGAAAGAAAATATTAATGCTACCTTGGATTGTTTTAACTATTTTATTGTGTATTGGACTAGTTATATCCATTCTCTACACAGCAATAGATTACTTGATTCATTCATATTACATCACTAGTGTTCTTGTTTTAGTAATTGGTTTACTTTTTGTCTGTAAGTTAATAAAAATATAAAGGTGTTATTAATACCAATTAATTGACTTTATTTTTCTAGGTCTCTATGTATATATGTGGTGGGTAACTTACAGTTATTACCAACAAATCAAAGAAGAAGATAACAGAACACCTTATACAAGAACACCTTATTATGGTTAAGAATTTAATGTTTGTTAAAAGTTAATTTGTCAATAATTTAATAGATATAACTTATTGTCAAAGTATTATTAGGGATATTAATAAATAATTATGTGTGCCTGTACGTGTGCAAATAATAAATAACAAGTTTTGCCAGTAAATTATTTATTTAAAGCACTATTTATATATTAAAATTTATATAATATTTATATTTTGTAAATAATAAACAATTTAATAAAATACCCACAAAATTAAAATAACGTTAAGTTTTAATAAATATATTATGTGATAAAATGTATACTTGGAATGTTGTTTATTTAACTAATCAAAACTTATCAATTCAGCAACTGCAGGTTGTTCTAATTGATTGGGAGCAGAAGGCTGTGGATTGATTTGTTGACTAGGTATATGCTGAGGTCCATAAGGTCCCATATGTAGTGGTGTTCCATAAGACATAGGTGGTATCTGTCCAATCATTGGTTGCTGATGTTGACTTGGTATCATTGGTTGTCCAACAGTCATTGGACGTTGTTGTCCTAAATGAGGCATAGGAGCTTGATGATGGCCTGGTATCATTGGTTGTGTAGAGCCAACACCAGAAAGTTGTTGTTGTTGTACTGAGCTAATTGGTTGACTAATAGGGATACCCGAATTGATGACATTTGTCATTGATGACATCTGTTGCTGGTATATAGGTTGAGAAATATTTGGATTAGTTTGCCCTAAATTATTAGGTTCATTAGATGGCAAACTAACAGGCTGACTAATTGGAGCTACACTAGGATTTGGTGGTATCATGTGTCTTCCGTTGAAAACTGAAAAAATATTTATTATTATTAATAGCATAAATTAAAATTTCTTTTCAAGTATACTTTGCGATTGAGATACATGTTGAAATTGAGTAGGCTCTGTAGATTGCTGATATCTCACATTATTTTCTTGTAGTTGAGAAGTTATCACTGAGTCTGTAAAAGTAGTAAATTTTCAGTAAATATTCATAAGAGAGTATATATAGGTGTTCAGTGAGTAAGGAAAAGGATTTCTATTGTTTTCATTGTTTGTAACAATTGACCCATTTTCTTACTTTTTAAACACCTGTATAATAATGTACTATTAATTCTTAAATAATCTTGAAACTATCATGTTTGTTATGATTATGACAATGGCTCTTATTGGTTAACAGTAACATGAAAATACATTTTGAGAAAAGTAAATTCAATGGTATTTTGACGGTAAACGAGGTATACCAACTAACAATGTTTAAATTAATGTATACCCCAGAAAAATAACTTATGTATTATTTATATTGAAGACTTTATACAGTTACAAATCACCATATACCTTAAAATAAAAAAATAGGTTTTTTGCAAATACACCACTTCATAAATCTTTTTGAGATTAACAATAACAAAGGTCCTTAGTGTAAAGGTCATATGAATACGTATATATATATAGCTTCAAATTCTTTAAAGTACAGAGCTATGGGGGTTAAGAACTGTAATTTATAATTGATTAAATAGACAGTTCGTAGACCTTATCTACTATTGTGAAAACTGCTTTACTGATTAAATAAATTGTTTAGTTTTATTTATACTGATACAAGTTAATATTGGAAATTGATGTGTTATGAATAATTAGAACTAAAAAATGTTTTTATTGATTCTGTTATTTCTATTGATAAACTTTTTCAAATTATAATTCCATCTGAGAATAAATTTTTGTTGTGCCTCGCACAACTTTTTTTAAATACAAAAACAAAAAATATTAAAATTATTTACTAGGGCCAGGTGGCATGTATGATGTTGGTGCTGTTGGTATACTTGGTAATGAACTAGGCCCATACATATTTGTTGTAAGATAATTTTGACGTTGATGCTCCATTCGCATAGCCATTTCTTGTTCTTGTTGTTGAACTTGTGCAAGTGTCATTTGATGTTGATACTATAAAATAAATGTTACCACTTAATAAATATTTTAAAATTTATTATAATATATTAAAAAAAAAAAGGAAAAAGATTATACTAAAAGTTGTCAAAATAATGTTGAAAAAATATACGTGACATTACAAAAATATGCAATTAAATTATACCTACAAGTATGTACTATATATTTAAGTTAGTCATACATAAATTTGTGCAACAATATAACTAGTAATAATAAATTTGAATATCTACTTGTTGATACTGCTGTTTTCTCTGTCTTAATATATCCAATTTCATTGCTAATTGTAATTGCTTTTGTTGTTCTGCAAAAGCAGCTTCTTGCTGTAAAGCAGCTTTATGATCTTCTCTCATAGCATCTAATGCTGCTCTAGTATCTTTAACTTGAACCATTTTATCTTGCAATCTTTCATAATACACTAAAAAAAATTAAAATTAATTATACATGCTAAAAATTCTATATATATATATATAAATATATAATATAAAATACATCTCTTTTCATCCTGCTGTTGAATATATTGTAATAATTTTTGGTGCATAGGTGTAATTTTGGAATAAAATGTATCTAATGAACCACCATTAATAACCGTTCTACCTCTACTCAAATTTGATTTTATACGATTTACAAAAATTTCTAATTGTGATTTCACAGATGTTATGAAAGCTTCCATTTCTTCAGCATCATCACACTGATCATTTTTAATAGCTGTGTTGGATATTGTCTAAAACAATTTCAAAAATTATATATTAAGCTTGTTTATAAGCTTTTTAAAGTAATTTAAATGTACATTAGCTGCTGAATAATTATTAAATTGTGAAGTTTTTGATTGTTTTTCAGTTCGATTTTCCCAATAAGAACGATTCAAATAACGAGCCATTTCAGGATCTTCTTCAACTTCTGTTTTTTCTTCTTTCTAAAATAAGACAATTAAACTCTGTTAAAAAAATGAATAAATAAAACAAATAAATTTCTTTATTTTCTAATATATATTGAGATAAATTATCATTTCTTTATAATTGAAGGTTATTACTACTGGTGGTGATGAGTATAAGCGAGAAGCTTGATTTAAAACTGAACTTATGTATGGCACCTAAAAGAGTATAAAACAAAATATTGTTATTTATTTTATACGGAAAATTGAAGATAAATAACTATTACTTTCTGTTGTTCTGCTTCAGATTGAGAAAGTGCCAAAGCTAATTGTAATTCTTCATCTTCTCTGAGTTCTTCTTCTGTTTTTCTATTAGTTGGTACCTAACAATATATTCATTTTACATTTTAATATAATAATTATAGAAAATTTATTTTATCTATCTTATATATATTATAATATATTTTAAACATTCTTTTTTGATTTACCATTTTTTATACTTTTTATTTTTATTTTATTATAATATAAACATAAATAATATGTCTGACATCAGACTCTAAAAGAAATTATATATATATATATTTTACTAATTTGAGCAATAAAGATACCCTCTAATCTATTAAAAATTAAAACTAAAAAAAAATTCTTGTTACTACTGACTCTTTAAAATAGTATTATATCTATTTATTTATTTTTCAATAATTTTATTTCAATTATTATAGTTTAGTGATAAAATTGGAATATATTTTTAGAGAGGATTATGATTATTTTTTTTCAAGAAAAAGAACCTAAAGTAAACCTGATAAGTAAAAAAAGAAAAGTTCAAAAACCACTATTATAATTTAAGAATTAATTCCATTCCAGGAGTTATAACCATTAACCTTACTACTGGTTGGGCTCCACTTCTATAGTTATAGAATTCCTTATTAGTTATAATTTTTATATATAAAAGAATTTTATTTTTGTTACACTTCTGTTATGCAATACTTTCTACAACTTTATGTTTCTGAAATACATATTATGTCCAAACTATTAAATTTTAAAATTATAAAAACCTGATTTTGTTGAGCTAAAGAACTTGTAAGATATTCGATTGGGAGATCATCTAATCCTTTGGTTGAATGGGATCTGTATCAACAGAATATTAACACAATAAACATTTTATTTAGTAAGGTTTTTGTTAAATTAATTATATATACTTATTAGATTTTTCATAACAAGCTTCACAAACACGAACCGGTTTTTCAATACCAAATTTAGGTAAAGTGCAAGATCGAGATGAGCATTGTGCACAGAAAACTTGTCCACAAGCTCGGCAATGATGCTAAATAAAAAAATCTTTGTAAAGGAAATTTAAGATCAAAAGCAATTTTTTTTTTTTATCAAAAATTAAAGTTTTAAAAATACCAAATATTTATTATTAAATATACCTTACGCTGCACCATTCCAAATTTAACACGACATCTATGACAACAATCAGAATCTTCCCATCCTGGAGCAACATCAGAACTAAACATTGCATCACTTTCTTTCAAGGCAGGAAAAGTATAGCCTTCTGCTTTCATGATATTAACAGTATCCTAATTGATTAATATATATTTATATAAGTTTATATATGCAAAAAAAAAATGTAGTATATCCTTCATTTTACTTGAACAGCACAATATTTAGGAACTGCTCGAAAAGCAAATGCCCATGTTTGCAGTAGTTCTAAAATTTTATTCTTGACATTTTCATGTGGAGTAGTTTTAATAGTTTCTCTCATTTGTTCCATAAAAGGCTTGGATCCTACTTCATCATGTATAAGTTGACCACAATTTTTAACACAACATTCCAATACCTAAAATATTCAAAAATTATTATTTTATAAAAATGTTAACAATTTTATAATTAATACATTACAAAAAATACATTTTTATCATTAAAATTGAACATTTATAATTTTTTAAATAAATAAAACAAGATGTGATTCATGTGATAAATATTAAGAATAAGGCCAAGTCTCAATTTTGCTTGCATCTACTTGCATATTATTAATTTATAACATTTTTACTGAGACTACCCACATACACAGTAGAGAAAAATCAGCAACTTTAAAATCTTATATTTCTATATGTTGCATAGAAATATTTTAATAATTTTGCCCCTTTGTACTTCTTAATTAAGACGAGTTAAAAAACTAATTTAAACATAGAATTTTTCTTAGTTACAATAGTTTTGTTCTCACAAAATTTTTCTCTACTACTGTACTGAAATAGCGCTAAAACACAAAATTAGCAAAACAGCTTTTTAGCTTTGAAATATACAATAATAAAAATTTGTATGAAACTTACTGGTTTTTTGAAATAAATTTACAACTTATATAGGTATCTCTAAGATCTTAATAAAATAATATGAAAATGCTAGAAGTTATGAGCCCTGGTATGAAAATATTGTTTATTAATTTAACTTTTCTTATCACATGAAATTCTTTTTTTTTGTGTACACATTTAATGTCTTTCTTTTAAATTATTAACTATAATTGAATTATGTACTAGTATAATTTCAGTAACAGAATTATTTATAAAAATTGTTGAGTTGAAAATTTTTATATGAATCAGAAAAATTAGTTGACATTTTTATAACAGCATTTAACTTTAATAATCTTAACCTCATGCCCGTGTGGTATGAGAAATGAAGAGTTAAAATAAATCATTTCACACTTAAACATGGTATATATCCTATTGTTACATTAAATATCCTGTTCCTACAGTGGATAAGGCCAGGTACTTGGGAATTATCTTAGGTAAGCAACTAACCTGGAGTTTATATTTGTAATATCAGTTAAACCTTTAATAAATGAATGCGCTTTTACTTTACAAAACTCTATTCAAACCTATTTGGACTTGCAGATTACAACTTTGGCATACTACAAAAAAGTCAAATTTACACAAAAGCTAAATGTTCCAAAATATAACACTTTGACAAATCTTCAATGCCTTACCATATGTCTCTAACTAAACCCTACAAAATGATTTTACTATTAAAAATATTAAGGAAGAAGCACTCACTTATTACTCACATTTCTCTAAAAGACTTTAAAATTATCTTAATCCTTTAATAAAGGACCTATCCTTTTTCACACTCCTAGGAAATCCCCAACTGAAGCTAAAAAGGAAGTTGTGTTGTAATTTGTTGCAAACTCATTAGTTGTATTAATTAAAAATAATAATAATGAAATTTAAATAAATAACTAATATTTAAATGTCAATGTGTTAAATGTAAATGTGTTGGTAATGGGTGACTATTTATCAAGTTTACATGTCATATATTTATCTTATAAGCTTATTGTACAAAATAATATAGATTGTTTATATCAAATAAGAAAAAACTTTAACAATAAACATATTGATTTTACAATAGTGAAAAATACTAACCAGTAAGCTATACATAGCAGTATGAGGATTTGAACTTAATAGTTTTTTCTTTATAGCATTGAGAGCAAATTTAGGCCTAAAAAAATAATTAACTTTATGAAATAAAACAATACAACACATTAACTTTAAATATAAATATGTATTAGGTTAAAATTTATTAAATGTAGTTATTAAAGATAAGAACTAAATTAAATACAATTTAACTAATTAAGACTTATATGAAGAAAAAAAACTAAATTCTACAATCGAATATTTATGAAATATAAAAAATATATAAAAGAAATCATTATATTCTAGCTAACAAATGAAATTTATCTTACTGCACATCTTTCTGTCTGATAGAATCACATATTTCTAATGTTGATGGCCAATCAGGTTCTAGTAGTAAGTTACTAGTCACTTTATCTAAAATAAAATAATGTTTTAATTATAATTGAAAATAATGAACTGTATAGATAAATATTTTTTTTCAAATTATATACTGTTCAAATAGTTATAAATATTAACATTAATTGATACACGTTGAAATTAATAAGCTCCAATGTGAATCTATTCCAAAAATTATTTATATCTCTTATAGTAGCAATAATGGCTTAATTACTATTAATTTAATTTATACAATTTTTAGTTCATAATATTTAAAGTTAAATCATTAAAATATATTTTTTTTATAAATACTGAAGTTATATTTTGTGACAATCTTAAAAAGGAAATATTTAAAATTGTAGTTTTAAATTAATTATTAGAATATTTTATGTCTATAAAAAGCATATCATATATTATTTTAATACATAAACATTTTATCTGTAAATTTAAATTTACTCTTTTACAATCATGTCTGAAACTTCAATTAAATTTCTATGATCTGGTACAAAATTTATAGTGATAAATATATTACTATAAGTATGGCAATCATCATATATATTTCTTACCAAGTAATTTTTCGAAATTGGATTTGAACATATTGCCAATAACGTAACCAAGCTAAAAATATTAATGACGTGTAAATGTGACAATGTGTTAAAGATTCTGCAGTGTCGATGAAATTTACATATAGTTAAAAATGGTAACCGAATTAAAGAAAGTGATTTTAATTGATAAATATTGTATAGACTAACAAAAACATTGAGACTATGACTTGAAAACTATGACGACATTATTGGACAAGATAATGAATCAGTATTTACAGTAGTAATTTTCTTTAGTGGAACCTCTTATTTATCATAATGTTATCATTGTCATTGACAATCAGTAATACCAGTTTTTATAACTAGATAGAACACGACATTTTTTCCTGAAAATCTTTATCAGGGCAAAAATGTAACCATGCTGTTATGAAATAGGCATTAGTTCATTGAAGAAAATTTTATTCTTTTTAATATTTTAATTTTACACAGTAATAAATAAATACGAATAATATATGGAAGATTTATTGTGACTCACAATTTATAAGTATTTATGGGGTATCTAGAAAATGCTAATCAATTAGAAGTGTTAGTTTGGCTGCACTGTTTTCGAAAGTATTTCGATAAGGAAATGATAAAATATTTTACTAGTTATAGTTAATGAAAGAGTTGTTAATTATTTCATAAATCATTTTTATTAATATATTCTTTGAGATAATAGTATTATTTACCTTATTTAAGTGATGGTAAACATTTTTGGATGTTCTTACGTCCGCCTAATCCAATATCGTCCCACATTTTTACACAGATAATCGATTTTACTACATACTGTAGTGGTTGTATTTATGGCTTGTTCGTATTATTATTACTGTTTATAGGCAAATTTATTTCTAATGTTGCTAAAATTGAGTTGTAAAATTTTAAAATGGACGAGATATCTTTGTTGAAAAAACGTACATCAATAGAAGCACTGCAAAACATGATACGTAATGATGATTCTAACCAGACACCTCCTAAGATAAAACGGTCATTTTCATTGAAGCGAGACCTTATACGTAGTAAGCATATAAGACAGGGAGATATGGATGATACAAAATTAAGGTTATCTATGTTCCGAAAACCATCATCATGGAATAAGGTTTTAGGGAAAATGTTACAAAAAATGTCCTACATTGGCCTACAACAGGACAAAGGCAATTTATGTTCCAAATATGACGCCTATATATCACGGTCTTCATCAGATATTTATAATGAAAATACATTTCAAGGTCCCAAGATTTTAACTGGAGATAAAGTTCCTGGTGTAGTGGGACTTCGAAATCAGGGTAATACATGTTTTATGAATGCTGTTCTACAATGTTTAAGTCATACAGACGTTTTAGCCAGGTAAATAAAATAATACAAACATAATTTGTCAAACCATTCTTCCATATTTTTTCCATTATTTTTATTTCTAGCATTCTTTATAAGTTTATAGTAATTCTTCATAGTGATTTAATAAGTGATTTAATACTATGAAGTGATTCATAGTAAATTAATAAGTACTAATTTTTATGGTTTTTTAATTAATACAAATTTAATTGTTATTATTTTTCTATAGATCAAATATAATTATATTTCTGCTATTTTTTTCTGTAATTAAAATTATTTGGTAGTTCCTTTAAATAAATACGAATTTTCATTAAGAGTGACTTATTAGGTTTATATTTCTTTGTTGTTATTATTAAATTAATTTTATTAGTTAATTAAAATAAATAATGTTGCAATGACTTTCTAAGTTTATTTTCTAATTTTTTATTTTAAAAAATTATCAGGTATTTTGTAATGGATCAATACAAAATGGATCTGACTAGAAGAAATAAATTAAATTCGAAAAAGTATGGTACTCGTGGAGAAATGACTGAACAATTAGCATTGTTGTTGAAATCTATATGGCTTTGCAAGTATGATCCAGATATGTCAAATCAGTTTAAAGCAATTGTTGATAAATATGGCTCTCAATACAGAGGAAATAATCAACATGATGCTCAAGAGTTTTTGCTTTGGCTCTTAGATAAAGTTCATGAAGATTTGAATACAGCTACAAAAAAGAAATATAAGACAATTAGAGTAATAAGCAGTTTTATATTTTATGACTTATCATTTTAATACATTTTTTTACTTTTAATTAGAATACTTTTGGGAGACCAGATGAACAAGTAGCTGCTGAAACACTTGCTAATCATGTAAGGTGTAATGAATCTTTTATACATAATGTTTTCCAAGCCCAATTTAAGTCCTCCTTAACTTGTCCCCGTTGTATGCGGCAATCTAATACATTTGATCCATTTCTATGTATATCCATACCAGTACCTCAATGTTATTCAACACCTGTGTATGTAACAGTAATTTATACTTCACAACAACCTAGAGAAGTAAGTACTTTATTTTAATAAAATAAATCATTTTTAAAAGTAAATATTAAGCATAGTTCAAAATTAATAAAAGTTTTATATTCTTTATAATTAGGTTAAGTTGGGGTTATCACTTCAAATTGATTTTACAATTGCTGAATTTCGTGAACTCTTGTGGTCATATACAGGTATTCAACAAGAACATATGCTAATTACAGAAATTACTGATATTGGGTTCAATAGGACATTTTGTGGTAATATTTAAATTAATAATGTATTTATTTAATAAAAATAGATCACATGTATTTGATATTATTAAAATTAAAAATATTTATTTTAACCAAAAAATATAGGTATTTAATATTACTGAGTCAGTATATGTTTACCATTGTAAACATATTATTATAATAATAGTAATACTATTCCTGAAATATGCATACACTATTTTTAAGTTTTTTTTATGGCATTTAGTTACATATTTTTTAGTTTAACTGAATATTATAAAAAAAAATTTAGTTTTAAATTATTTAATTAGTTCTACATTTTATTATGTAAAAAATATTTAATATTTAGTAATATTCATAGTATTCAACTTTTTTTAGATTCAATGCCTGTATCAATGATTAAAGAATCTGACCCTTTGTACTGTTTGGAACTTCCTAAGTTAAATGAATGCAGTAATGAAAGTGGCCCCTATTTATTGCTCTGTTGGGTTAATGTACTTGTTATTGAAGATCAATGTTCTAGGTACTATTTTTAAACATTTTATTTTCTCCAAGAAAGTTATATATATTTCAAGTCTTACAGTATCATGGTAACTTAGTTTGATGAACCATTTATGTGATAAAAGATATTTCTATGTCTCTATGTATTTTTGTGCAACTGAGTTAAAGGTATCTTTTTTGTATTTTATTTATTTTTTGTAATAGATTTGGAAGTGCTTTTACAATGCAAATTTGTCGTGAAACATCATACAAAGATCTTCAAAAACTCTTATTGAAAGAAATGGCTTCAATGTTACATGATGATATATTAACTGCTGAACAAGACATACCTTTGTTTGGTATACGTTTGGCTGATGCTAGTGATTTACCTCAATATCTTGACCCAACTGTAGAACTACCTCTTTTTACGGATCCCATTGACCAAGCATTAGCAATGTCTGGAGATCAACCTCATATTAAATTTATACTTGAATGGGACCTTCATGCAAAAAAAACGTATTATTTTACATTTAAGTTTTAGATCAATTTGTTTTTAAGTATTAAAGAATATTAATAAAAATTAATTATTAACTAGTTTTTTTTAGATAATACTTTATTGATAAATTGATGATAATCAATTTAATACATTTTTAAAACTGATTCATTCCCAAAGGCCAGGGTATACTTATTTTAAGTTATTTTTAATAGGTAGTTTTTTTTACATATTTTTTATATTTTAAATATACTTTTCTTTTTCTTTCTTAATCACAACTATTTGAGGTCGGCCAATTTTAAATATATTAACAATTAAATTAAAAACAATCATTACACATCATTATTTTGTATTAACTAATAAAATAAGACTATTCCATTTGTTAGAAATCCATGAATTTATTGATCAATTTTCTTTAGTCATAGTCTGATTTTTATTTTGTAGCAATCAATTTTAGAAAAGTGAATCCAGTAGTTTAGCTTTATAAAATTCTTACAAATTTGATTACTTCTATGTTAATTTGAACCTAAATTATAATTATTTTTTAAATCTTTTGAGCAATGTTTTCTTATTTATTTATTTTTTTTATCATGTCAATTAATTTATATAGAACTATTGCGGATCATTGTGAACAAGTTGAAGAACATGCTAGTGTGAAACAACTAAAACTAAACTCTGAACATGGTACATCTATCACTCTTGAACAATGTTTTGATGTAAGTATTTTTTAATGATAAAGTAAATAATTTGTCTTTGATATCTTAAAATTTTTAATATAATATTTTAGATGTATACAAAAGAAGAAATTTTAGGACCAGAAAATGCATGGCATTGTCCGCAGTGTAATTTAAAACAAGAGGTTGTAAAAAAACTTGGATTATGGACATTACCAGACATATTAGTTGTTCATTTAAAACGTTTTCGGCAGTCATTAACTCTACCATCTACACGACAACAAAATAATAAGTAAATTTAAATGAATTAAAAGGTATAAAAAATATTAAGTATATTTATAATTTTATGTTTTAGGCAACCAACTAAACTTTCAGTTCTTGTAGATTTTCCTCTTTATAGTTTTGATATGACCCCTCATTTAGCCATAGGTCGGGATGTTAGGGTACCATTAAAACCTCCATCATCACGCCGTTTAAACTCAATACACGATCGTAACTTATACGATTTGTATGCTGTATGTAATCACCATGGTTCAGATCCACATAGTGGTCATTATACTGGTATAAACATTAATTTTTTCACTTCATAATTGCATGACTAAAATAAAATCATTGTTTATTTTTATTAGCATTTTGTAAAAATCCATATGATAAGCAATGGTACAGTTTTGATGACACAAAAGTTACTCCCATCCCAGATACATCATTAGTGACTACATCAGCATATATGTTATTTTACCAAAGACGTGATATGATTCTTAATGGCACAGATCATTGGGCAACAAGGTTACATACTCGCATATCAAACAGTCATTCAGTTGGACAAATTGTTGACAATAAAGGTACTAAGTTTTATTTTAAGTCATAGTATGTCAACTTTAAAGTACCTAAAACTAGAAGTATAATAATTTTTCACCATAAATATTTGAATAAGTATTAATAAATAACAAGCAAATATATAGAATAGCTAAAACATAATTTTTACATGAAATTTAATTAATATTATTCATAGTTTTAATTTTTAAAACAGTCGGGTATAACGTAAAAATTTTTACAAAATGAAAGTTTAACTTTTGGATTCAATTTCAACACTTTAAACATGAAAAAATGTGAGATTTTAACTCTCTCAAAAATGTATAAAATTATACATATTATGTAAGAATTTATCACTTATGGCTGATAATATTAAAATTAGAAATATATTTAAAATATTGATTTAAACTAAAAAATATAATAATTATTAATGCTAAATATATATTACACATTAGCATGTTTTAATCGTTGATAATAGTAACATTATTCACGAAATACGTATCCTCAATTCATTAGTAATTTTTGTAGTTTGATTGAAATACTTTTTTAGTTTAAATTAATGTATTATTATATATTAATATAGTATTTTTTTTTTTTATATAATAATACATATTGTTACGACTGACGTCATAAAACAAAATGTAGTCGACACTAATTTTATAAAAAATGTGGTCCTTTCTCACAAAAATTGTCCAATTTCGCCCTCTTTTTAAAATTTTTTTATATTACATAATTTATAATTTTTTTTAATTTTTAAAGGAGAGACTAATTTTTTAATTAATAGATCCGTATCCTTTTATGGTTATGACTCCATGAAAAAATTGTCTGACAAAAATAATACTTAAATTTACATATGTCTTTATATTCTATTAAATAATAGGCATGACTTATTTACTGATACAGTACCGTGTTTCCCTCAGCTGCACATCATGTTATCAACCTAAATGAAAGTGTATCGGGATCTGAATCATAAGTGCACGGTGGCCTAGTGGTAAGGTTTGTCTATACAACGCCTTGGGTCGCGCGTTCTAATCCCGTACCGTGCCTCTTTTTTTCACATGATTTCCGGTAAACTTTCTATAACCGGCCGTCAATCCCCGGCGGCCGTGTTATTACATTGGTCAACAATAGAAGATAACCAGAAAAAAATTATTTTACTGTTTTAATGAAATCTACTTATATATTATTTATTAATAGTAAACATATTTTAATTTAGAAAATAATAGTGAAAATATTGACGAATTAAGTGATTCACCATCTAGCAATACTATTTCCAGATCTTCAACAGTGGAAAATGATGCAGTCTTTTCAAGATCAGTATGTATTCTTTTTTGAATATATTTATATCTGATATATTCTTAAAATAATAGTGTAATAACACAAAAAATGTCACTTTTGACTTATTCATATTTTATGTAATAAATATTATAATTTTGATGGTGCAGTGTATGCTATGTTACAGACATAATTTAAACTGCAAAGTACTATTTAAAAAATAAATGGTAATAACAAAATATTTGCAGATTCAAAAGTTATTAAAGTTGTTAGACCATTGTGAGACACCTGAATATTACATTAAAAAATATGATACTCAAATCTTTAAATTTAACTATAACAAAATTTTAGATTTACATTATTTTACTATCTTGCAATTTTTGTATTTATAATGCCAATATGTACTTATTTATTATACTTTGTATTTGTTTTTAGAATTCACCCACTGTTAATGACAGGATACAAACTGAACCAATTAATGACGAATCTGATAATAATTTTAAAAATTTTTTGAATAATGCCAAGGAGTCATGTATTTAATATTTAATAAATCTGTTTTAAAATTGTTATTTTAAGGATAGTATACCAATTACCATTTATGAATTATTATTATTTGTTTTTATAATTAAGAAATTAAGCTACAGGTTATATATAAATATTTTGGCAACAAAAAAAAATTGTTTATTTGCTCACATTACAAAAACATTCCTTGTATTTAACATAATCCATTTATATCAATTTAATGGATAAACAAAATGTGTATTTACTAAACATTTTATATGTATTTTATTATTTGAGCTACAAAAATCTTTAATACAATTATTAAGTATAAAATGCTCAAAAATAATTCTATATAAAATATTGTAATATATAAATGTAAACATTTATTATATATAACTAATGCCTAATATATTTATATAAATTCACTTATTAAATTTGCACAATTTCATTTAATTCTTACGAATAAAAGGTAAAAGGTAAATTTTTATTTTGTCCAATTTAAATTTTATTTTTTTAAGTAAATGTACTTTATTTATTTTGTTACTACCACTTTTTCCTCATTCCCTTTATTTATTAGAATAATAATTATTATGTTTTATAGGATAGCCTAAAGTTAAAAGAAAAAATTATATGGCTATTATTTGTTTAAACCTACTTAACAACTTAACCATATTCGCTTAATGATTATTGTTTAGTGTTATTTTTTTTACACTATTTCTTTCAACAGTTATTTTTCAAAACCCTCTACTCGCTGATCAGCTACAGGTTAGATTTAGACATCAAATTACATATATTCTTGATTGCCACAGTCACTATGTGTAAAAATCGTTATTTTTACTAAAATTGCTATATATAAATTTTACCTTTTCCTTATTTAATGAACATTATATATGTGTATATTTAAATAGTGTATAATTTTCTTTGATTCTAAAAGTTCTATCATGATAACTTTTATATAAAGAATAGTCGGGTTAAATTGTTAGGAAATGAACTGCAAGCGTCTTTGTGAAATGTTGGCCGGTTAAAAACTTGCTTCATTTCAATAAAATCTGAAATGACGACTGGTAAAATATTTTATCGTTGAAAATCAGTGCTGATTATCAACGAACAATATTTTTTGCTTAAAGCGTATTATTTTTAAATGTGTTTGATAATATCTTATCATACTGTTTTAGTTATTATAATTATTAGACCTTAAAACATATCGCCTATAAATTCAAGTTAGGGTATAAATGGACTAACTTAAATATTTGTATGAAATTAACTCATTTAATATATGTTTTAAATATATTACGAAGTCTGAATGGTATTATGTCATATTATTTTACCTATGATAGCTATTAGATCAAAACTATTAATGAACTATGTTTTAGTAATTATTATTCATTCAGAAATTAATGTATTTATTCATAAGTTGCTACATCGCCCCAAATTTTTAAAAATTCTAAAGCTAGGCCATAAGTCCAGTCAAAGCCAGTCAGAAAATCATATTCATCGTCATCGCTATTTTCTCCTTCAGATACTTCTCGCTGAAATATATTTATTGTTTATTCATTACATAAATGTGATTGTATTTTAAGTTAAAATATATTAACATATTTAATTTGCTTACATTTTCAAAAAAAAGTTTGTAACTATTTCTTAACCAAACTTTAGCCATTTTTTTAGCCTTGTCTTTTGCACTTGGACGGCCAAGTTGATTAAATCCTTCAATAACAAAAGCTTGTAAAGGAGATCCCACATTTAGATAATCTCTACTATTAAGTCGAAAACTCATATTAACATGGATATCTAAAACATGAAAACCAGCAAATATTATTTATTCCTCTAATTAACTCGTTTAATTTATTTCTATTACTGTAATCATTAATGGTATAATCAGATTCTTCAATAATATTGTTATTATTTAAATAGTTTAATACGGCAGTATACACCAATTTTTTTGGCATTCTAAAACTTTCAGTCCATAGTGGAATAATATTAGAAGCATAAAAATTATTTTGACTTTGATTGTACATCACATCCCAATCAAACCATGCTCCGATCTCAGGATTCCACATTACCTATAGTAATAATTCTTTTCAAAATAAAATTGTTTATCTTAAATAAAAAATGTATCCTTATACATACTTCTTGTATGCTCTTTAAAAGCATAAGGGATATAGCTCTATACTTAATTGTCTTTCTGTTATCGCCTATCATATCAAACCATTTGCTTAAAGTTAACGCATTAACTTGTAAAATGCTGTTTAAATCAACAGGAACAATTTTTGAAGTTTCAATTTCAGTTATATTTTCTAGAATTATACTGACCATTGATTTAAGATTTAAATTTGTAATACTAATGAAAAATATGCATACTAAATAGATGTCTTGCATTTAACTGGGTATGCCATCTCTTAAAGAAATTCCAACCAGATTCAGTTGCTGATTTTATATTTAAAAAAAATTCATCTTTATCTTTTTCGTTCTGAAATGTCTGGGCTGCAATATAATCCTCTCTAAAAGCATAGTGTTAGTGTTAATTAATAATAAGAAAAAATAACCTTTACTATAAATACATAGTTTATTAAATCTAAATAATAACATAAATAAATAATCAAGTATTATTTTGACTTTTTTTTTATTCGTAGACCGCAAAAAATATGTTTTTTATAAGAAAAAAAAATACTAAATATAATAAAATTACTTATGTAATATAAGAAAACTACTTTAACATTCTAGTTATGCTATACATTTTAAAGAAACATTATCTTTCGCTAAAACATGTTTTTTCAAACATTTTGATCTTACTAATATGATTTACTTCAATAATATTTTTTAAATACATGATAATTAGAATATTTAAAAACAAAAACGCCTTTAAAATTGTTTTTTATAAAAAACGAATTTTTACTACTATGTTCATTTGTGTATGTATATAATACGAATTGAAGCCTCATAAATATAAAAATATAATATTATTTCTTTATTAGAATGAGTAGAAACGTTGTTTATTACACATATATTTTTGATATTATAGATATAAAAAAATACTTGTTTGTTATTCGATAGAAAATTTAATTTATAAAAAATTATTGTCAAATAATTTTATTTTAGCATTAATTATTTATCGGGATAAACGTTCATAACAAAATAATTCGTAGACAATGCAAAATATTGTTTTTCTTAGTTGTTATAGGATTTTGCATAAACTCCTGGATATATGAAAAAGTGTTTTAAATAAAATTTATAATAAAAATATTACATTAATAAATTAATTCATAAATAAGAATTATTCTTATTGGGTTCCACAATTTCGTGCTTAAGTGAACCAATATAACCGCCACTCGAGAAAAAAAACATAACTTAGACTACTTCCATTCAAACTTGTAAACTAGTTTATGTCTAGCCTTGTAAATAGCTATAAGATAATGAGAACGACTATCCACGATGCTAATATAACGAACATTTGGATATCTCATATATATTTCTCGGGAAAACTTAAATAACTAATAGATATTATGATATGTGATAAGTACATCAATTAAACAACATACGGTTGTATTTATATTGTGTGGGTTATTCTTAACGAACGAATTTTCCTTTAATAGATAGACACTCATATAAAATATGCTTTAATCTTAAACTATTTTTCGAAAATATTTAAATTTCAACGTTTCTCCGTGTAAGAGAAATTTGTTCGAATCTTAATTTAAATAATTTAATAGACGAAAAATGATTATTAACTAGTATTTGAATATTTAAAAGATTTTTGTAACACAAAAATCATTTTCTTTAATTTTTAAAACAATATATTACGAATACCTATAGAATTCTGGTCGTGGTCCTTTGGAAGGTGCGTAATATCGAGCCATTCTATATGATTTTCCATTTTTTAAAAATGTTGTCATTCTATTTTCTAACCAGAATTTAAGTTCGATTTCTAATTCCTGATAAAGGTTTAAAAAAAAAATTATTTTTATTTTTTATTTTAATCTAAATTATAATCTTCTATCGAAAAGTAATTTACTTACAGGCAAAATAGATTTTACGTATTTAAAGTCTTTTGTGTCTTGATAGTAATTCAATACCATTAAAATAAGCATTGGTGGTTGAGATCTACTCAAGTTGAATACTCTAGCACCACTTGGCACAAAACCGAATCTGCTCACCATTGATACTAAATTATCAATAATTCCTCGGGCTGTATTTTTCATATCACATAACAAAAGTCCTTTTACGACCCAATAAGTTTCCCAAAAATCAAGTTCTCTCAAAGTGTTGTTTAGTTTGATGAACCCGTTGGGCAACCATATCAACGAATACTTATCTGGATGAATTTTTACATCATATTTAATTTTATACGCCAAAACATTTAACGCTTTATTTAGAATTTCAGCCCACTGTTTGTAATTTTCATCATAAATTGTATAAAGAATTGATGGGGTTTCTGTTGTATCAGTAGGAGTCCATTTTTCAATATCATCACTATTTTCAAAATTTTCATCTATAAAACTTCGTAAGATCTTATTAGACGGTACTTGCATGTTATTGCTTTGTTTAAGTTTCATGTATTTATTCAAAATTTCTGATTCGGTAAACTTCATCTGTTTAAAAAAAAAAGTCTCTGAACTTGGGAATATAGATGACATCTGGACATCATGTAAAAAGTCACTGTCACAGAATACTTTACTGAAAGGACATTCAAAATAGAACTAATTAAATATTTAATACTTAAATACTATTAAGAAATTTAATTATTGATATTATCTACTTTTCATCTTATTTTTGTCAAGCATAAGATATTGCTTAATTATAATTGAATTAAATTAGAACTTCACAACATTTTTTAACCCGTAAAATGTAATATTCTATAATAAATCATTTAAAGTGAGATTCCTTAGAAAAACGATTGTATTTTAGAAGTTTTTAACACTTTACAAATAATGAACAAAGATAAAACGCGAGTTCGATTTATTTTTATCACCATACATTTCTTATACACACTTTCTTCCGCTCAGTTAAAAAAAATTGTTCATAAGTTATTATCAAATAGTAATTTTCTTAATTACACTAATATGTACACTTTAAGCTAGTTAATTATATATTTTTCCATTTAAAATATATCAATTTATATCAATATAACTAATTTTTTTAAAATTTATAATTTAAGTAATTATACTACTACTTAAAAGAAAATTTTTTATTCATAATTATAATTATAGAATTACAAATATTATACAACTATTTTTCTAAAATAATTCTGTTTAAAAATACAAATTTCAGTTCATTTAAAATATTCATTTGTTTTGATTAAAGTATATTTATGTACCTTTGACATGACGGCAGTAACGTATTGTTTGTAGGAAATAACTCATTTTTCAAAAAAATATTGGTTCTGCTGATAGAAAATACATTCCATATTTGTAGTAAGTATAAAATTGTATTTATATTATTCATTATTTGAAAACAGTTAATAATTAATGATTTAATACAATTTTATTTAATTTGAATACTCAACAAACAAAAAATTGTTATGAAAAAAAAATACATAACGGAATACGTAAAGACATATTCTAACGTAATATTGATTAAAATTAAAACTTACAAATATAAAATATATACTTAAATGATTTTTACAATTTTATAATTTGACTTCAGCAACGTGTAAAATCCTACAAACTACTAATTTTTACTTTTCATCTATCATATAGCGGTTAGTTACAACTAATACAAAAATATTTCACTTATTTGTTATGTTTTATATATATGTTAAAATTGTAAAAGATTCAATATTAAATATCTACGAAAAAAAAATAGAGTAGAAGCAAATTAACTCTTTACAAGTCATTTTTTTGTATAAGTATGTTTCTTATTCATTAATTCTATTGTCTGAATGAAAATCAGTAAATGAATAATAACTATCGTTATTTTGCTTATTGTTTGCTGAAAAACTACTTGATTATCGCCACTTATAATTTATTATTATCTGTCAATTATACAACAATTTCTCACGTTATTTTCTGAATTATACTAGTAATAATATAGTAACACAATAACAAAACGTTCAGTAGCTTAATAGGTTATAAAAATGAACTTCAATTTTATATTTTATTTTCTTGTACTTTAAAATGTTGAAGTTTGTACTATTATGATTTAAACCGATGGTTTAATCATATTAAGTCTATGGTAAATTGTCTGCTCTTTCAAGAAGAACTCAATTATACTATAACTGGGTTATATAGTTATGATTTCTTTCTCAGCCGTTTAAATGTTTATGTTATTACTTTTTCTAGGTCTTGTTTTATCTATTTTTCGTTTTTATTTTTTAAATGGCACCCTCCTATAGTGATTATCTATTATCCAACACCTTGTTATCTATTACTTCTTTTCATTTTATTTAGTTACCACACTGATTCACCGTTGGTAGACAATTAGAAGTTAGTTTTATAAAACTTCAAGCTTTTTAAGTCTATGGCATACTTGCATTACCTGTACTTTTCACTAGTTTGTTCTTTGTGTTGAATATGGTTGTATAATATACCTATAACTTGCTGAAGATCAACCTCTTCTGAATCGCGTTTAAAATAGATTTTTATTCTTGGCTGTTTTTTTACTTAAATTGCCTGAACAAAACCATAACTATATAGAGTGACATTTTTATCATAATCCTTTCAATTATTTGCAGAATAAAAACAATTTTAATTACTTTTTTGTTATATATTGATCTCGATTAATTATAAAATATGTAATACTTTTAAAGTTAATCCGTTCTACGTTATAAAAACAAAGTCGAAGGATTATACTAATCGGTAGTTTATTTTTTTTTACAACGCCGCTATTCATAGATTACGTTTGTTACAAATTATGACTTTATCGAAAGATAAGCTTTCTGTTTTGCAAGTTGGTGTATTTATATGTGTTGACATAACATCGTGACTTATAAACTTCAATACTTTTAGAATATCTGTCGATAACGTCATAATTGACAGTAAACCCTACGCAACTGTAAATAGCAATGTCATAAAAAAACAACTAGCTACTCATTAATCAGTATTAATTAAAATCATAATAACATCACGAACATCTTTAAACTCTACAAGTAATGGACGACATTTAGTAATTTTTGACGTGCCTAAAGGTTTAGTACGGACAATAGAAACTTTAGCATTTAGTGATGCAATGATATTATTTGAGATCTGAATGGGATTATTGTTATCGTCTTCAGGTATATTGTAAATTATTATACTACGAGCTTTATGCATTTGATCCTGTGTTTCATTGATGATGTCGTCTATGTTATCATTATTATGAATATTTTATCCAAGTACCCTGATCTTTTCCCGAAGAGTACTAACTTCGGTTTTTTCAATATTCATTTTCGTTCTTTAATGTTTTTAAAGTAATAATAATATCACTTAAAACAGTATAACACGAGAAAGGTTTCTATCATAATGACTTAGTTTTTTATCAATATCTTGAAACTTATAATCCTGAGATAAATGTAGAGACTTTAAAGTTGATAAAATTTGAGAAAGTGAAGGCGCAGAACGAGAATAAGAATTTGGTGGGTGTATCGCATTTATTATTATTAGGCATCGCATAAAAAATGTGTTAATAACTGACAAGCACAGAGTACATACAACATCTTATCACTTCAACAGCTTAATTGTAAATCTATACAAGGATAATTAGGATCTTTAGGAAAGAGTGGCTGATCCAAGTAGTTGGGATAAAGGCTAGAAAAAAAATATTTTTTTCTGCGAGTAATTGAGTGGGTTATATTAAAAAATCATCCTATATATCTGGAGCACACTTTAAGTACCCTATAACTTACTCCAGTCTGATGTTAAAGCTCATTTCATAGATCCCTTACTTAAGGGATCTATTGATGCACCTGATTCTACAATGTATTCCTAATCCTTTCTTATCATTTTTATTATCGATGTCATTTTTGTATTCCTTACCTCACTACTTCCTACGTAGAATAAACCCTCTGGTATAAACAATAAATGTATTATCAAAAATGTCCAATAAACTTTTGATTAATGAATCATAGCATTTTTGTTTATTAACCATTATTTTTGTTAGAAGACTAAAAAATTAATCATACTATCAAATATTTTGTTAAATTAACAAAAAAAAAAAATACTATTTATTTAACAAAAGTAATATTGGACGTATATTGATAAAAAAACTTATTGATTTTACATAGAAGTCTTTTCAGTATAGGGTCACAATAATCCTTTGTATCATATGTTCCATGTTGATAGTCACCGGATGGGTTAATAAATTTTCTTGTTGATACCTTATATTTTGTTTTATACAATATTATGAATAAAACTTTTACATAAGATTCTAATATCACTATAATATCTATTTATTTAAAAATGTCATTTGGCGTGAATTGAAAATAACTGACTATTATAATTGTCCTAAACAACCCACAGTAGTCAGAAGTTATAAGTATTGCGCAGCGAGTTCATATTTTAGACCATTATTTTAAAACAAACATAAAAATATATGATCAGTATGGAAGGTGTTCAAGCGTTGGAAACTTTATTTGTGACGCTGTAGTGTTTCACATACGATTCATCAAGTGTCCACCGACATTATTAGTATGGATAGTAATTAGTGATGGGCAGTTTCGAATATTTTTAACTATCGAATAGTTTTTATACAACCGAATAGTTTATTTTTAGCATAAAAAATCGAATAGTTTTAAAAACTATCGAATAATTTTTATACAACCGAATTTTTTTTTTTTTCTATTTTTGGCATAAACTATTCGAATAGACTATCGAATAGTTTTAAAAACTATTCGAATGGGCTACCGAATGGTTTTAAAAAATATTCGATTAGTTTTACCTAAAATTTTTATTAAGTATACTTAATTATAATAAGAAGATAATTAACGAATACTTATAAATAAATTATTATACAATTAATAATAGTAAAAATTAGTGATGGGCATTTTCAAATATTTTAAACTATCGTATAACTATTCAAATTGTGTTTATACAACCGAATAGTTTATTTTTAGCATAAACTATCAAATAGTTTTAAAAACTATTCGAATATTTTTTGAATGACTATCGAATTATTCGATAGTTTCTATTCGATATTTCCCATCACTAATAATAATATTATATCAACAACTAATAAGTTTATAAGTTTAATTACTCTAATAAAATAAAAGTTGTGGAATTTATATTAAAAATAATTATGTTAAAAATTGTTTACGATTATGACCGCTTAATAATTAATTAGGTATTAAATCTAAATTATTTGCTTACAGCCCAAAATTATGAAATCTGGATCTNTCATTATTATGAATATTTTATCCAAGTACCCTGATCTTTTCCCGAAGAGTACTAACTTCGGTTTTTTCAATATTCATTTTCGTTCTTTAATGTTTTTAAAGTAATAATAATATCACTTAAAACAGTATAACACGAGAAAGGTTTCTATCATAATGACTTAGTTTTTTATCAATATCTTGAAACTTATAATCCTGAGATAAATGTAGAGACTTTAAAGTTGATAAAATTTGAAAAAGTGAAGGCGCAGAACGAAAATAAGAATTTGGTGGGTGTATCGCATTTATTATTATTAGGCATCGCATAAAAAATGTGTTAATAACTGACAAGCACAGAGTACATACAACATCTTATCACTTCAACAGCTTAATTGTAAATCTATACAAGGATAATTAGGATCTTTAGGAAAGAGTGGCTGATCCAAGTAGTTGGGATAAAGGCTAGAAAAAAAATATTTTTTTCTGCGAGTAATTGAGTGGGTTATATTAAAAAATCATCCTATATATCTGGAGCACACTTTAAGTACCCTATAACTTACTCCAGTCTGATGTTAAAGCTCATTTCATAGATCCCTTACTTAAGGGATCTATTGATGCACCTGATTCTACAATGTATTCCTAATCCTTTCTTATCATTTTTATTATCGATGTCATTTTTGTATTCCTTACCTCACTACTTCCTACGTAGAATAAACCCTCTGGTATAAACAATAAATGTATTATCAAAAATGTCCAATAAACTTTTGATTAATGAATCATAGCATTTTTGTTTATTAACCATTATTTTTGTTAGAAGACTAAAAAATTAATCATACTATCAAATATTTTGTTAAATTAACAAAAAAAAAAAATACTATTTATTTAACAAAAGTAATATTGGACGTATATTGATAAAAAAACTTATTGATTTTACATAGAAGTCTTTTCAGTATAGGGTCACAATAATCCTTTGCATCATATGTTCCATGTTGATAGTCACCGGATGGGTTAATAAGTTTTCTTGTTGATACCTTATATTTTGTTTTATACAATATTATGAATAAAACTTTTACATAAGATTCTAATATCACTATAATATCTATTTATTTAAAAATGTCATTTGGCGTGAATTGAAAATAACTGACTATTATAATTGTCCTAAACAACCCACAGTAGTCAGAAGTTATAAGTATTGCGCAGCGAGTTCATATTTTAGACCATTATTTTAAAACAAACATAAAAATATACGATCAGTATGGAAGGTGTTCAAGCGTTGGAAACTTTATTTGTGACGCTGTAGTGTTTCACATACGATTCATCAAGTGTCCACCGACATTATTAGTATGGATAGTAATTAGTGATGGGCATTTTCGAATATTTTTAACTATCGAATAGTTTTTATACAACCGAATAGTTTATTTTTAGCATAAACTATCAAATAGTTTTAAAAACTATTCGAATATTTTTTGAATGACTATCGAATTATTCGATAGTTTCTATTCGATATTTCCCATCACTAATAATAATATTATATCAACAACTAATAAGTTTATAAGTTTAATTACTCTAATAAAATAAAAGTTGTGGAATTTATATTAAAAATAATTATGTTAAAAATTGTTTACGATTATGACCGCTTAATAATTAATTAGGTATTAAATCTAAATTATTTGCTTACAGCCCAAAATTATGAAATCTGGATCTGAGTATAGTCTTTAAGTATTTTTTTTATAGATATTCAATTGTTTTCATTTAATTTTTAAAACAAAAACGTTAATTTTACTGATAGAAATAAATTATGCATCCTACTAATTTTTAGTAAAAATATTAAGAGCTTTTGTGCATTTTTTATTGAAATTGTTTGTTCAACAAAATTCTATATTTAGTATGATTAAAAATATATTGATCAATTAAACATACTTTAGACAGTATTTGTTCCTAAATATTATTTTTATATACAAATTACTAACATTTGTCCTTTTTAAATTAAACGATCGAATCGTTTTACTTATACACCTACTAGCTCTTATAATGAATATGTTTTTCCAAAAATAATATGTTAATGATGCCACTATCACTCTTTTACTACGGATAGCAAAATGTTGTATTTATTTATTTAAAACACTTTTATAATTCGAAAACGTTTTTTTTAATTATTTAAGCTGAAGTTTTTTTACAAAATGAATTCAAATAAATGGAATATTTGAATATAGTAAGAACTTACAAGGTTAACCATTGTATAGTCTTAAATTGTTGATTAAGACAAAGTGTTACTTTGTAATCTTTATAAATAGTAATGTTTTTTTGAAAATTTAAAGAAAACAACTTACGAACTTGAACTTGAGCAAATATATAATTTACACATTGGTATGAAGAACTATTTTAAAACCTTAAAGCTAACTTGTTTATAGGTGCTATATTTTATTTGCCAATTTTATTTTAGATGTGTGTTTTTACTTTTTTAGTTACAAAATACTACAGACATTTATAATATACATATATATATTACATACTATATTTTGTTTGAAGTAATCGTTCGAACACCTAGCTAAAAAAACACGTAACACAAATATTATTGAAAATTTTCCATGAAAATTAATGAATCATATTTTAATACTTAAAATGTCATGTTATTATACATGCAAAAGTTTTTGTTTTTAATTATACGTTGAATTATTTGTTCATGTATATTTTTGTTGAAATTATTGGAATATTTGAATTAATATTGTATGTATTTATCATCTTTGCTTTAACTTGTTATATTTTTAAACAAAATGTGCATTTTGGTTAGATAATACTTTATGAAATAGACAATATTATATGGTTACTTTATAGATTATTCGATTTTTTTTCCTTTACCAAATTTTTATAATAGGTAAGTTTTATAATTAATCTTTTTCAAACCTGCAATTAAATTCAGTTATCTTATACATTGTCAAATGAACTATGAAATTCTCGTAATGTAGTTCTCTCCTATCACTCATTTTATTAAAAAGGTAACATTGTTAATGCAAATTTTATGACATGTCACCAAAAAGCGTCACTTTTACACGTTAATGCTATCCCTTAATTTGTCAGAAAAATGCAATTATTTTTATTATCATTTGAATAAAATATTTTTTCCCAACTCTTATTACTTTCACCTAACGTTTCATCGCTTATAACTGATCAGCAAAATGAGTTTTTTGATGGAAAAAAAGTATAGCAATAACGTAAAATTTTGAAGTGATGTCAACTTTTTGACAAAAGAGTGTATGTTGAACTAAATCATTTTTTTGTATTTCACTCACATATTATATCAAATAAAGTTGCAATGATACATTAAAATATAGTTTTAATATAGAATATGACGTTAAGGTATTAAAGAGTTACATAGACAAAAAGTATTACACAAAAAATATAATAGGTAACTAAATGATTTATAGTTATATTGAAGTTATATTAATATAGTATAAAATTTAAATTTTACTTTTGATACTAAATTAAAATTTAGATTGGAATTCATTTATACAAAATTTTATAACAAACAAAGGTTACTTTTTAATATTGTTTCGACTATATTACCTTAAATAAATATACATTGAATCTTTTAAGAATAAAAGATTGAAAAACAATATACATACGTATAATTTATAATAATTATATATAACATATTAATTTAATACTGATTTGTGTTTTCAGATTTTTTTCTGTTAAGTTGTAAAACCATCACGTGTTGTATTATTTCGATGTCCACTTATAGCCAACATTATCCATCCCTTCTTAATTCTAAAAATACATTTTTAAACATTTTTGAGAAAAATAAAAAATAAGTTTAAAATACAAACTATAGAATTAATTTCTATAGTAAAACAAAATAATTTTTGATGATTTCATATTCTCGATAGTGCAAAAAAAAGCCTATGAACATTATGTTCAGTGTATAAATATATAAATTAATAAGTAACATAACATTGTTATATGCTTTCTAAAGTGACTAGACTATTAAAATTTTATTGTTGTAAATTCATTTTTAAGTAACTGAAATTTATAAATTGTGATTTCTTTAAATGAAAGTGTTTTTTAGTTAAAAAATTATACTTGTGAATGTAATTTGATGTTTTTATTGTGCCGATTTATGTAAATATACATAGTGATTTTATAATTAAATCTTAAGATGCGTAACTATTTTAATAATAATTTTAATTGTTTATAATAGAATAGTGATATGTGTCCTTTAACCAGTGTTGTAGATTCATTTTTTTACTTTTTTCTATGAATACCTACATTATTTGACCAAGACTGAATTTTGTCTTTTAAACCTTTAAGCTTACAAAAGTACGAATTGCATGTCGTATTTGAATTCGAGTATCCTAAACAAAGCAATGTGATATTTCCATTTAAGTTTTTTTCTTTAGATTATGAACAAAATAATTCAAACTTTATTATTAATATTATTTTAATACTATTATAAATTTAATCAGAGTCGATGTTAATCCAATGCAATCAATTGGCACGTCATACAACTTATCAAATTTGAGTTAAAAATGACATAATAAAACATATAATGAACTATTTTTTATATCTATATACTGACCATTTTTTTTATCATAGGAAGCATCTCCCCATCGGTCCAAAAATTCGAATACTATTCCATTTGACCAACCAAACCCTGTTTGAGGAGTATACTCGCCACCAGCACCAGTTTCACCTGAAGCTAAAACGTCGTACTAAAAAGTTTAGAATAATTTTAATGAATGTCTAACTATTGACATATCAAAAAGTACTTTTTCAAACATCATAGATTTTTCAGAAAAACCTTTGTAGTTACTTCGTAGCCAAACATCGGCTAAGTCTGCTGCTACTTGTTGTGCTAACTTTTGTTGCGTTCTATCTAGCCCTTGAATGATAAAAGCCTGTAGAGGAGGCCATGCATTAGGGAAGTCCCATTGTTGAGATGATGAATATAAAGATGTAGGTGTACCTGTTGATCAATTATATATAAATCGATTGATTAATAGCTTAAATGTTTAAAACTGTAATAGTACCATTATATTTTATACTGTAGTCAGGTTCGATAATGTGTTGGTCTTTTAAATACCCTAAAACTGAGCTAGCGACCGCTTTTTTAGGCATACTGTAACTTCCTGTCCATAATGGTACTACGTTAGAAATGTAAAAACTTTCTCGATTTTTATTGTTTATTATATCCCAATCAAACCACGCTCCTTTATCTGGCCTCCACATTACCTAAGAAGTATCAATTAAGTAAATCTATCAGCTGTTCATTATATATTTGTTCAGCTAAATACTTCTTGAATGCCAATAAGTAAATCATCAGCAATTTTTTGGTATTCGGTTCCTTTTTTAGCATCGCCCAATTGAATGAACCATGTACTTAACGTTAAAGCGTTAACGTGCAAAATGCTATTCAAATCAACTGGAATAATACTTGGAGCATTGACGTCAACCAATCCACCTAAATAACAGTAACATAATTTTTGTTCTTATTAAATTTTATTTTAATAATTTTTTTTTAATCAGACCTTCATGACTTCCATTGGCATTAATAAACCATCTACTAGAAAAATCCCAGCCTGTTTCAGCTCCAGATTTAATATTAATATAAAATTCTTCTTTTTCTTTTTCTGATTGAAGCGTTTCTGCTATTTCGTAATCTTCCCTAATAAAATTTAAATACCATAAATTTTATGTTAAATCACACGCATAAAATAAAAATTAAAGCTACCTGTAAGATTCTGGTCGTGGTCCTCTCGACGGAGCATAATAACGAGCCATGGTGTAAGTTTTACCATTTTTGTCAAAACTTATCATACGATTTTCCATCCAGTAGTTTAACTCGGCCTCTAAAACCTGTAAATATTATACTTCTTTGTTTTAATTGCTCCTATTGAGAAACGTTATAATATACTCACAGGTAAAACAGAGTTTACGTATTCTTTATCATTAGTAGCCTGAAAATAACTCAAAACCATTAAAATAAGCATTGGTGGTTGAGTTCGGTTTAAATAGTATACTCTACCACCATTGGGCATGAAACCAATCACGTTTACCATCGATATAATGTTATCAATTACACCTTTTGCTGTTTGTCTCATGTCACATAGTAATAATCCTTTGACGATCCAATAGGTATCCCAATAGTATAGTTCTTTAAATCTACCACCGGGTATTATAAAACCGTTGGGTACCCAGATTAATGAATATCTATCAGGATGAGTGTACACGTCTTTTTTTATTTTTCGTGCTAATGTCTTCCATACATGATTGAGGTTTTTAGCCCAATTCTGATAATTTGGGTCACGAATCCTATTAACAATTGAAGGGTTCTCAGTGAAATCAGTAGGTATCCATTTTTCTAACTCATCACCATCTTCAAAGTTTTCATCGACGAATTTTTGTAGTTCTGGGTTTGATGGAACTTGATTATTATTACTTTGTTTTAACTTTGAGTAATTTTCCAATATTTCTGATTCGGTAAATTTGAGCTTTTTATCAACAAAGATTTTGGAGTCAGGGTATATATGCGACAGTTGAACATCCTTCAAAAGATCACTCTCGCAATAGATTTGACTGTGAATATAGAATTATACAAATAAATAATAATCAACAGAAAACGATAAACACATTTTATTAAAGTATTACAGAAGTATTGAGATAAAACAATTTTTATATCATATTTTATAAAAATTTAAAACAAATTTATTTTAATAATATTTGTAGAAAACGGCTTTTTTCTTTTTTTGTTGCTCAAAAAAATTTCTGATAAGTATAAAAACGTAGTTTGCTTCAAAGTTATAAAAAGTATTTGATCTATAGACCACTTAAATTTCTTTATAAATAATGTGATTCTGTTTAAGAAAGGTAAATGTAAAATTATAGGTGTGATATAATAATTAAATTAAAAACATTAGTCCTATTAATTTTTAATTTTTTAATATAAAAAGAATAATAATTGCCTTTGAAAAGCAATTATTACACAGAATATTTTTTTTATTAACATTTTGCCATTGAGATACTAAACATATATTTTAGTCAAATATATTTAATAATTAAGTTAGAATTATTAATTAACACCTATATTTTTATTCTGCATTCGACTCATCAAAAAATACCTTAGACATGATGGCTGTAATCCGTTTTCACTTCGAAAAAATCCTTTCGTTAAGTATACAAAATCGACAGATCTTGCTCGAGTATTATAAACTTGTGCCAGGCACAAGATTAATAAATTAAACCGCATAGTATTGAAAGTTAAAAATAATGACAAGTATGATAGAGAAGCCGTTTTAAAGTAAAAAATTTATCATAATAGATTTTACATAAAAGATGTAATAAATATTATATCTATGTATTATTTATTTTATCATAGAAAATTTTATTGATTATTAAGTTAATTAAATGAAGCTTAGCTAAATTTCTTTCCTAAACTATTATCGAATTTTCGGCGGGAATTACGCGAACAGACTGCACGAATGACCAACGTAAACGCGGCCTTTATCTATACACTACACCTATTGCTAATGTTGCCTAATAATTCATTAGGTAGATAATGTACGGTAACCCCTTGTATGAGCGATAATTTGTGCAAATATAAGCAGATAAAATATTTATTGTGTTCTTGGTATTTACACACGTTAACCAAATTGTAAAAAGTTCTTGTTGACAGTTTTTGCATTCCTAATCTTATTATTTTCTACTTATTTCAGTATATTAGTGTATTATAATGTATATTCAGACATTAATTGTATAAGGAAACAAATTAGCTGCCTATTCAGGTTGGTTTTGCACAACCTTGCAGCTCTTCTCATAAATTATGGGATTTTATTCATGTGTGCTAAACGGAAACATTTTCAACCAATTTTTTACGGATGTCTCGAAGTTTTAAAATAGATTTAGTCTGCTATTTGAAGACATATATCAAATAATACAGCTTTTTCGTCATTTACAGTATATAATTGTCTTATTTAAAATAAACTTAACCTAGCTAAAAATAATTTAAATACAATATTTACAAGTACATAAATTTGGTGTAACATTTGAAGTATATCAATTAATTTTTTGTCATAAACGTGATTTCGTTATTATTTATAATTCGTTAACACTGATTAATAGTGACCAAATAAAAATATCAATTATTTTTTCATTGTTTATTTTTAATTTCAATCGCCCTAATTGACTTTTGGGTTTTGAAAATTAATATTTTAATAATTAATTAACTTAATTTGATTTATCAAACTAAGTTAAATTTATATAAATGTTATATAACATTTATTTTATTAATTTATGTTTATTTGTAGTTAAGTTCAAAAGAAAACTATTTACATAATATTTTTAAATATTATATTTTATTACTTATTTGTAAATTCAAAATTTTTACTAACTTGTTTGAATACACTTGTTTTGTAATATCATAAGAAACTTGTCGTGCATCTGATTATTTAGCTAATTATTTTAGATTAGAAAACTTTATGTTTATTGTTAATTATAGTATTGTAATAAAATGTAATAGTTTAAATATTTTCCATTTTATGATAGGATTTCTTTTTATGATAATTATCATAAAAAAAATATTTATTTCCTGACGAAACTTTCCTAACTTTAAGCTTTTAGTAAATATATGTAGTTAAAGTATTTTTGATAATAGGTAAGTGTCTATATAGCATCTATAAACCAGGAAAATCATTTTAGATTATGCTAGATTGGGTATACTTTTAATCGACCCATTATTTTGCATAGCCGATCACTTCGCTCGCAATTAATCTCCCATAATTAAACGAATAAACTAATTTTGTATAAAAAAAAACGGTAGGACAGTACGGTCACGGCACACTGTGGACGCAGCATAGTTGAGACAATGTTATCGGACAGTGAATAAAATCACTATCAAGTTCGATGCAAATCTGTAGATAGTGTTTGGTTTTAAGAAATTAGTGGATTATTCCAAAAGTAAAATTAACTCTTATTTCCTTCATTATTCTTAATTATCAGTTCTATGATTTATAAGTATAATATATGAATAAATATTTATTATAGAAATTAAATATAGTATGAAATTGATATTTGATAATTTAGTGTTGTAGTTTTTACAGAGAAATTATAAAAAAGTTATAAAGTATTTGCTAGTTTAATGCAAACACATAAAGATTTTTCATTAGAGTCGAAAATATACTTTTCTAAACCTATTTTTCAATAAAATGTAGATTTTAAATTTACAATTTGATTTTTTCCATCACCACTAATTTTTGATATTATTAATAATTAGTTTAAACGAGTATTAATATATAAAAAAAAAGGTAAAAGTTATTACCACGACTTTTAGCTCAACTTGCAAGTTTAAAATTGTCATCATTAATAGAAAATTTTATGAGAATTAAAAAAATGATATTATTATTATATTATACTTATATGCAGTCAGGAAATTTTATAATTATTATTTATAGTAAATTCATCAGAAAACCATAATATTTTTTGCATTTTTATGGTAATATATTACTTAGATAGAAATCATAGTAACCATTTTTAAGTAACTTTTGGTGTTCAAAAAGATTTCTCAATTGAAATATGCCGATCTATTTAATTTTAATGATTTACTTTAACTAGAAAAACCAATAAAAAAAAAAAATGTTAAAAATATCTACTCAATTGAGCGTATTAAAAAATTTAATTGTAATTGTAAAAATCTATTGTTAAATTCAGGTGAAACTAAAAATTATTTTTTTTAGAAATTATTTATATAGCAATATGCTACCAAAAAATTTGGAATATTATAGACTGGTAGTAACACACAAAAATAGTAAAAAAATAAAAAAGTAAAATTATTTAGTTTTGTAGTTGAAACCTATTATCATATCAAACTTAATTCTTCAATAGATACATTAAAAACATTAGAAATGAGTAATTTTAATTATCTATATGTGATTGTGGGCTAAGTAACTTTTTAATTGATTGAAAGTGGAATTTTTTTTTCAATTTTTGAGGGTAATATCTTCAACTAGATACGAATTGTAATCATTTGACGTGTCATTAGAAAAAGTAGGTCAAGTGAGAGCTGAGAAAATAAATGATAGTTACAAAAAAAAATGTTTGTTTTATCAACTTGATACGATTTGTGACGTATCGTTGAGAAAAATCGGTCCAGTGAGAGCTGAGAAAAATTAGTGACAGACATAAAAAAAAAATAAAAAAACAAATTTTAGTAAAATTAATATTTTTTCAATAAATGGCTTCTTCATTTTTTTATAATATTTACATGTATAAAATGTGTTGTTTAAATGTTTTTCCCAGTTTGTTAGCATTAACAACACATTATTTTATCTGTTGAAAAAAAATAAATAACACTTCACAGTTGTGTTTTTGCAAATATAAAATCATAATAATTTTTAATTTAAAATCAATTGATAACTGATAACAGAAGATTGGACTAATAATTGTAACAATAAAATATTATTATAATCAAAATAATTATTATTTTGATTAAATATCATAAAAGTAATATACACTATTATGGTAGATTTAATAATTTGTATCAAGTAATCATATTATTATTTTTAAATTACTATTAACCAAAACTATTATGTTGTTTAACATTTAGTTTGTTGGCTAAAAATTATGAGGTAAATAAAAAACGGAGGGTATCACCCAATTATTTATACCACTAATTAGCAATCTTATTCGAAATTATTTAAATCGAAATTGATTTATTTTCACTTGCCAATTGACTATTTTTTATCTATTACCCACTTAACACGATGTTATAACATCAATGGTAACCTAATTTTTAGAGTATTAATTAATAAATCCATATTTTATAAATCAAAATAAATAGTAAAAGGTATGATATCAATTGTATACACACTTAATAATTAAGTCTAAATCATAATAGCTTAGATTCACGTAAATTATAAACATGTTGAAAATACAATAACAAAATAGTCTTTTTCTGACAAAAAAGTGATAAAAACACTTTAAATAATATTTAAAAATAGTTAAGTATATTATTATATACTCGATATATACAAACCGAGTGTAGGGTAAATCATGAATCCTAAAAAAAGAGAAAATTTGTACACATTACACAAGTAAGAAATAAAAAATTATAAAATAAATATAAGATATCTGAACATTTTCAATATATCTATTTAGAATTTATTTTAAATTAAAATTATTTTGTAAGAAACTGTGTCATAACAAATTATTAAAATTTATTTACGTAGACACATTATTTTTAAAGCAACATATTAAGTTTTTATAATTTTTCATATTTTTTTAATGGTTAATGCAGATAATAAATATCAAGTACATAAATTATGTATTAATAAATATATTTGTAAAAATATAGCTATAGAACATAATAATTAGACTTTGCGAATAAGAACATTTTGGAAAACTAAAATCTAAGTAGATGCATTATTGGTTTATTCAGCAAGATGAAATAATGAAAATATTGTCATTAAACTAATTTCAGAGTTACTAACTACAAATATTAACATCTTTTTACTCAATTTTGTCTACCTATTATGGAGGTTTTTTTAATGAATCATAACGAATAGCCAAAGATGAATGTTTAGCCATAACTATGAGAGTTGAATATTTTTTAATCTTTTAGTATTTTAAACTTTGAAAAAAAATATAATTTTATAAAGTTGTAAACATTTATAAATGTAACCTTCAGTAAATTTAACTTAAATTAGTTTTTATTTAGGTTATCTAATATAGCATAAACTCATTAACATTTAATAAAGTCGAGTGTAGATATATTGACTATTAGACACCTAAGTGATAAGATTTCGAGGACAATAAAAAAAATGTATAGTTCATTACAAAGGCCCTAAGATTTATTTATATTTTATGTACATTTTTATAGACACTCTAATCACTAAAATTCTATTTTAAAAATAAGTTTATTACAAATGAATTCAACTAAAAATAGAAGTTTGATTAATCGCATATCTTTAACACTACTTACATCGTATTAATTACCAAATGATAATTTAACCGAATAATTAGTATGTTTAAAATTTACTACTAAAAAGAAGTTTTAGTGTTAATATAAAGACCCAAAATCAATCTGTTCCTTTTATAATTAATCTTTACCTTTAAATCTGATCGAAAAATTAGACTAACGTATAACCAAAAATAATTGTTCTATAAATTGTTAATAGATTCTTAGGTTGAAAATTTAAAATTATTTTTAGGTCTAATAAACTTTATTTTACTTCAACATCGTGTAAAACAGGTACATAGATTGTAATATATGTTAATAATGTATAAATGTTACATCAATTCACCGAAAAATATTTCTATGTTCAAGGTCTATAATGTTATAAAAAAAATTATTTTTATGGCTTGAAAAATATTAGCAAGATTAATCAAGATCGATTATTTTGACTTCTAACCACCTTATTAATTTTTAGTCTTCATTTTCGATTAAATAATAATTTTATAATGATAATACACTAGGGCGGATTTAAAAATTCAAATTTCTATGGAGAGTGTTAAGCCATTTTTTTTTTTGTTTTGGTGGCACCAAATTGTTTTTTTTGTCTGTTTGATATTTAGCTCATAAATGTTTTCCGGTATGTTCAACATGTTCGAAAAACAGTCCTGTAGCAGCCCCTTATGTATTAAAAAGGTATCAACTTTATTTTTTCAAATTACAATATAAATATTTAATTGATGATTTATAAAAAAAATGATCAGTATTATAAAAATACTGGTCGATAACTATTGAACAAGTATTTTGGAAGTAATTTACACATGTAATTAACCTGTGACTTACTTCAAGTTTTTACATTAAATTATTAAAATCTTTTTAAATATTAGTCCAAAAGTTGTAATCGTCTAGTAATTTTCTTAATTAAATGATCATTTGATAAATGAATATATAAATTATCATTTGAAAAAAAAAAGTTGATACCTATATAATGTACAAGAGATGAACATAAAAAAATATTTTATTTATACTTTAATTAAGAAAAACACATAACTAAAAAAACCAAGAAAAAAAAATCAATTTTATTTTTACTTTTTAAATTAAGCTAAATATTTTTAATATAGTTATAACTATACTATTAGCCAAAAAGCGATGAATTTTATTAGACACCTAGTCCCTTACTCAAATTATTTACTAGTTTATATAAACATATATCTTGATAACTATTATGAATTAACAGTTTATAGTTTTCAAGTAAGAAATATTAATTTACAAATAATGAATTATTAGAAAATGCTCCATTATTGTAAAAAATTGTATAAATGAAAAATTTTAGAGAAGTTATAAAAGGCACTATACTATAAGGCAAATAAAAGTAGTTAAAATAATGAAATATAAATATATAATTGTATATTTTTAATAAAAATAAAATTAATATTGGTAACAAAAATAAGTATAATAAAATAAGACAATTTTAGACAATCAGAATTTATAAAAAGTTGTTTAAACTAATAGCAATAGTAAATAAAAAATATTGATTTAATATTATAGAAAGCAAATAAAAAATACAACACCCATCACGAAATTGCACGTGTATAAACGTGTTTCATATAACGTTTCCGAAAATATGTAGTTTACGTACAAAAAAAAAAATGAAGAAAAATTAGAATTGAAGTCATCAAAATTTATATAAAATGATCGTTAATATTTCTTTAAAAAATAGAATTTTCAAATCAAACTTATGAAACATTTGTTCATTTAAATATATATATAAATTTATTTATTTATTTATTATAATTAAATAACTTACAAAGAAAATATTTTCTGTTCTTCGTTATTATTTAAGTAGTCTGATGAAACCATTCGAAACTATTATTATAAAATAAAAAAGTCGTATTTATTTATTTCAATATATATTTAAATTAATTCCATAAAAAATCAACATTTTTTAGGGTAGTTAATGTAATAATCGCAATGTGTCTAATAACGTACTATAACGATGGCGGGTAGACTCAATAATTTTTATATGATAACTGAAAATGATTAATCATAGTTTATTTACATAACTGACCTACTAAAGTTAATCATCGATCCATTTTACCCGTTATAAATATTAGTAGATATAGAAGTAGTACACTTAACGACATAAATTATAGTTTTACTAAGTTTAGCATTTACCAAACTTATTATTGATGTATAAAATAATTTTATTGTTAAAATGTATGTAACAATAGTATGTAGGTAACTATTGAAAAGCAACAATTTATTTTAACAAAAACGATATAAGTACATTTTAAATTTTTTACGAGACATAGCAGAGGAATGAAATTCTATTAAAATGATCATAAATATAGGATTCACACTTCTACATCTTTTAACAAAAAGTTGTTATTATCCTTTAAACTAAATTATAGTAAAACACTCGTAAAAAAAATGTTTAAAAATCCATTTAAAACATAAAAACTCATCAAACCTTTGTATCCCTCATTAATCCTTTAATGCTTTGTATAAATCAGTTCTTTTAACACTAATTACTTGATTTCTCATAAAATAATAAAAATGTTAAGAAAATTATCGTTGGTATTTTTTTAGTTTCATATATTTTTCAATTTATCAATCATTAATAATTTTTTAATTTAATCCTTATACCTTATAAGGATGTCAACTTTATTTATTTAATTGAAAAACACGTATAATAGTATTTAACTATTTATGAAATAAAAATGAGATATTACCATTTTTAAAATATAGACTGAATATATGGCACGAGCTAGATAATATCTATCATTAGACATTTTTCAGCTCCAGAATTCTTCCTATCTAGGTATAAAAATATTAATAACTTTCGAAGTAATGGTCTAAGTTGTTATCGACCTGTTTTCATTATTACATAATTTTTTATTTTATAAGCTAGTTAATTATGTATTGCCACTTAAATAAATTAAGTTTTAAAGTATAATTTATGAATTAAAAAATTTTACTAATGATTAATTAATTAGACTTTCGGGATAACCCTTATTATTATTATAAATTAAAAGATTTTGGATTAAAAATAAAAATTATTAGTTACACATGTAAAAATAATAATTCATTGTGACATATTTTCGCCTATAAATGTATTCTCTTGGTTGATTATGTTTTTTTAACAAATGAAAATTTATTTATTTAACAGATTATTCTATAAATTGTAAAGTAATGGAGAAAAAGATCCATTTTTCGTATTTCACAGTGTCTTTTAGTATTTTATAATTTATACAATATGTGAGTATAATGCAATATAAAAATGATTTTACAATACAATTAACGTTACAATTAATATAATTTATTTATGATACATTTAAAAATATTCATTGAATATAATTATACAATATAGTACATCTTAAATTATCAACATATATATATTTAAGTACAAGTATTTATATATTTGAATTTGGTGGACAACCCTCACCCCAGCATTGTACATACCCATCGTCATCATTAGCTCCTAGTCTTGGGTCAATATCAATAGATATTTCAGTAGATGAATTCATTGAGGTATTTTCTTTTTCGCAACAAGAATAAATGAATCCTTCATCGCATTTTAATCTTTTAGTTTCTACCATATCGTACTGCTCACATCCTTTAACTGCCCATGAGTCTAATTGACATCCAGTATCCCAACATTTTTTTTTTATAGTTTTATTAGGTTTTTCTTTTGGCTTATTTTTTTCTACTGTGGAATCATTTCCCGATTTATCATCAGTACAACAAGAGTAAATAAACCCTTCATCACAAACTACTCGCTTGACTTCTACCATATCGTACTGTTCACATCCTTTGACTGCCCATGAGTCTAATTGACATCCAGTATCCCAACATGTTTTCTTAGCGTGATTACTAGGTTTTTCTTTTGGCTTATTTTTTTCTACTGTAGAATCATTTCCCGATTTATCATCACCACAACAAGAGTAAATAAATCCTTCATCACAAGCTATTCGTTTAACTTCAACCATATCATATTGTTCACATCCTTTGACTGCCCATGAATCTAATTGACATCCAGTATCCCAACATGTTTTCTTAGTGTGACTACTAGATTTTTCTTTTGGCTTATTTTTTTCTATAGGTGCATTGTTATCTGATTTATCATTACCACAACAAGAGTAAATAAATCCTTCTTCGCAAGCTACTCGTTTTACCTCGACCATATCATATTGTTCACATCCCGTAACTGCCCACAACTTAGATTGGCATCCAGTGTCCCAGCATTTTGGTTTAGCTTTTAAACTTGAAATTGAACTCATTGTATCTACTAGAGGAATATTTTCTTTCACATCTTTTTTACAGCACGAGTAAATATGTCCTTTATTGCATGGTACACGTTTGATTTCTGTCATGTCATATTGGTCACAACCTTTTACAGTCCACGACGAAAGCTGACAGCCTGTATCCCAGCAAATTTGTTTAGTCTCTGGCTTAAGTTTCAAACTAGAAATTAAAGTTCCACTGGATATGTTTTGTTTGTCTGCTTCTGGATTACAGCATGAATAAATGAAACCATTATCGCATGACGCTTTCTTAACCTCGATCATATCATATTGTTCACAACCTGTAACTGCCCAAGAGTTTAACTGACAACCAGTATCCCAGCACTTTCTCTTAGCTTGATTATTTAATTTCCCACTTGAACTTTCCAATTGTTTTTTTTTTTTACCACAACAAGAATAAATAAAACCATCGTCACATGATGATCTATTAATTTCTACCATATCGTATTGTTCACATCCAGTAACTGCCCAAGAGTTTGATTGACAGCCGGTATCCCAACATACATCTTCCGATTCTTGTTGTTTAACTTTTGGTTTCGAATCTTCTGAATTTTGTAACTGATTATTTTCACTTTTGGTTTGACTACAACATGAATATTCATAACCTCCGTCACATGGAACACGGTTTATTTCAATCATATTGTATCGTTTACATCCCACCCATGAATCTGGCTGGCAGGCTGTATCCCAACAGTCACCGCGAATATAACTTAACAACGTTGAAACACTTACTAAAAGAAATGCGAACTTACTCATAATTAAGTACAATAAATGTAAGGTTTTAAAGTATAATATAACTTTCACAATTTATAAGTATATATTATAATCCGTTATGAAGCATAACACACATAAGAAGTAACTATTGAAGATAAACTTGTTTTTTGTTTAGTAGTAGTAGTTATAATATTGGAACTGAGCTCAGGTATTTCACTTTGCGTCCTACCTTGTATTCACAAGCCACCACTTATAAATTTCAATGCCACTTATTTTCTGTTGTATAAAGAGAAACAATAACCTATCGTATCCCTTCTCTAAATTTAAGAATAATGATTGGTAACATCAAATTAATTTTACATAGTTTTCATATAATGATACTAGACATTTTTACGATAATATATTAATAATATTCATAAGTAATAACTAAGAATGAGGGTAATACCCCTCTGACGTTTTTTTCCAAGTACCTAGTAAAACAAGTTTGTTGTAGATTTTAATAAACAAAATTTATTAAGATTTGACTATTAGTTTCATAATTTTTTTGGAATAAATGTATTAAATCTTATTTAAATGAATTTTTTTCAATAACAATTTTCATGATAATTAACAAGAAGTAATAAATAACAATCAAAATATAATTAAATTAAAAATATTCCTAAGTAGAAGTGTCAAAAATAAAAAACAATTTCATCCAAAAACGAAAAATTGAAAGCAAGTTTTATTGTTTTTATTAATTGTTTTATTTTATCATCTGATATATTGAACATAAGTATTTTATCATTTCTAAAATTCGATAAATATATATTTAAATTAAAAAAAATATTTAAAAATTACTATTTTAATTATACATTATATGCAGAAATTTACCAAAATTTTAGAGTGGCTAGAATTACTTACCGGAACCCTAACAATATTATATTTTAAGATGCTTTCTTAATTACTTAATTTTCTATTTTATTAGTTAATTAAATATGTATGTTACCACTTAAAAAAATAAAGTTGACATCCTTTTAAGTTATATGGGATGATTCTAAAAATCAATTATTAGCTGATAAATCAAGAATTATATATAACTAAAAAAAATTATTTTTATGATATTGTATTTATTTTGCTAGTAATCTAGTGGTTCATAGTAAACCGATCACTCTATAATATGTAATGTATATTTTTATTTCTAATTACAATATGTATTAGATATTGTTCTTAAAAATGGGCAAATAAAAATTTCAAGAAAATTAGTTGCATCATAAAATTTTAAGCCAAAATAGGGAAAGACTTATAAACTCTCCTAAAATTAAAAAAAGTAAATGTGAATCATTATTTTAACATAACACATTACTCTTTACACTTTTGTATTTTTGTTAGAGAAAACAAGTTCTTTTTCTAGATTCAACGACGAATACTGAGCATTTAATTTGATGATTAAAATCCGAATTTTTAAACTAAGGCATATTCCTCAATAACCTAGTTAGAATAATTTTTATTAAAAATATTAGTGTTTTGTAATGTGCATATTATTATTATTATCCTTTGTATAATTTTTTTTTGCGTGTATTTTTATTTCAGTAAAAATTAATAATATTAAATACCCTTTTTTTTAAATTTAGTATGAAATTGTATAATTAAAAAAATTTTTTTTTATTTTACACACATATTTTTCAATATTTTTTACAAAAAAAATAAATAGTAAAATAACACATCATTTTTAACATATTTTTATTTTAAATTGACTGTTATGGGCACCAATTAGCGTAAGTAACACATATAATTTTTTTTATTTTGGCTAAAAACATAAAATTAACCTTTGTGCACTTTAAATTGATAGAATCTGAACATTTTTGTAAAATGCCGTTTATATCAAATAATCTATCACAGTTGAAATACTATCCATCAGATTTACATTTTATACTTTTAATGAGAAAATTATTTATTTATTTTTAATTAGCTTAAACTAGTACTATTTTTACAATAAATAATGAGTCCTACGAACAAATTTCTGATAACCATAATTTGACCATAATTTTTATCATTGACATCTTTAAATAGTAAAATAACACTCTACTTAAAACTAATTCCATTATTCAAACGTGTTGATTGATTAATTATTTCTTTTATTTATAGATAATTTTCAGTCCACCCTTATTAAACAACATTTATAAAAGAAATGGTTTTTCAATATCGCCATTATCATTATCTTCAACTTTGAAAACTGAACAAGTATGTAATATAAAATGTACAGATGTCCTCTTTAAGGTAGAGTGTACTCGTAGTGCTTGGTCCTAATCTATGATTTAAAATATTCTTAGTTAACTTAATGCATCATTGCCGCCTTTAAGACGTTAAATGACTTATTATCATTATTTATTCACTTTAATTATGTAAAAAATAACTTTTTGAATATTTATTGTTGGAGCTCTTTAAGTATTAAATGTAAGAGCTTCCCGGGAATTTATTAATAGAGCTTCGTAAGAGTATGAAATTTGAACTTCCTAGGTTAGGTTATTTGGAATATGGGGAGAGATACCATAGAGCTCAGATAATTCACCACAATTGCTCCCACATACTTCCAGTGCTGTTACAATAGTTTAACACTGTAAACTATTAACATTCAAGTTTAAATGAATATAGCTCAACCTCATCAATAAAAAAAATGTTTAATTTATTTTTATTTATCTTTTGAATTATGGTTATCTGGAAATAAATTTTGCACTTTTAAAGTGCCCAACTTTAAAAACTTATATAATTTTTGAAGTATCATATTATAGTGAGTTAATGTCAAGATCAATGGCGTATTTAGAAAGGGATAAAAGAGTTACGCTCCTATTAGCATTGTTGATTAACACAACTAAAAATACTTATTTAAACCAAAATTTTAAGCAAAATATCATCATAAAAGTCACTAAAATTTTTGGTATAGACCTTTTCCTTCATTGAAAAGCGCTGGGTACTTCGCCATTAATCAATATTATTAATCACAAAAAAAATAAATAAACTGATAAATTATTTATTAAAAAAATATATTATTGATATTATTCATTGAACATAGAAAAAATCTTAAAAATAAAAGTATTTAAATAATTGAAATATATTTTAAAAAAAAAACCCATCAAAATTAGATAGCGGATGATTATAACCAGTCAAGTACATTTTTACCAAACTAGGTTTCAAATATTTTTTAACATTTTTTTATTTAAAAATCTTGCGAGCAGTTTTTCTGTACACGTTTTTTATATTAATTTTTATTGTAATTTTTCATTAATAAAACTATGTTTCATTTTGTAAATATTTTTAAAAGTTTATTAATTAAATGTTCTAATTGAAATATCTATGCATCAAAATTGTCAAATGATAATCAATTTTAAGTTTAATTTTTAATATTACTAAGGGTAGATAAATTAGGAAAACTTTCTGTTTTTTATTTTCTTTAATTGACAAAATTAATTCAAACGATTTGTACCCGATCAACAGTTTCATTGCTTCACTGTTGTCGTGCTCATCTAGAAATTCCCTTTATGCCAATGTGCTATTTCAACCTCATATATAGATAAATGTTTTCTTGAAAATACAAAAAGTAAAAAATAATTTTTGTCGTTTTTTATTTCACTTGCGCATTACTAAATGTGAAATATAGGGTAGACAGATTAAAAATAATAATTTTGGTATTTTATCATAATAATTAAGTAGGCTACACTGTTTAGTTCACCGTATCGTAACAATGAAACATCTTACGACCGTCAGGCTGGAACGCAACGTTTTACACCAGCCACCCAGCTGTTTTAGTGACTAAGACATAAAATAGTTGCCAAACAACAAGATAATTTAGAAAACGGTCGTTACGTCATTACGAATATGTTTTATTGAGCTTAATTCGCCATTCCACAGATAATGTTATGAAATAGCTTTCGACTCTGGTGATAACGCTAGTCTGTAACTTTCTTTCCGATAATACAATAATAATAATAATAATAATAAAAAGTGCAATACAGAGAAATGTTTTGAAAATTTTACTTAATATTAAACATTTTGTTAAGATTAATATTTATTTCTAATAAATTTTGTAGTAACAAAGAAGCTGAAATTAGTTTTGAGAACAACTATATTAGTTAGACTTAATTGGCTACTACTATTGACCTTACATTAGCATAAGGTATGTGTAAATTTATCTCAGAAGCTTGTTTAACATTCAGGTGCAGACTTAAAAAACTACTATAATTAATCCTCTAATTATTTCATAACTTAATTTTCATTCTATACTAATTTACTGGTTTTTTATCTTAGAACAAGATGAATGAGTGTGACAATATTGATTGGCAAAATAAATTCAAGGCTTTAGAGAAAGAATATGATGATTTTCGAGAACAGTCCCAATTATTGGAACGTGAATTGGAATTAGATGTAGAAATGCTTGAAAAGACTAATAAAGATCTCAAATCTAAGAATAATCAACTGCAGTTTGATCTTGACACTTTAAGGGTAAGTATTTCACTTTTGATTATGGCAGCAATTTGAATTTTTATTTAGTGTAATGTAAAGGGGACAGACTGGCCTAGGTATAAACGTATGTTTTGGCATACTGAGTTTTTGGGTTCAATCACCAGGGTGCCAACAAGATTTTTCTTGTGATATTTTCATTGATGTAGTCTGGTCTCTGGTACAAGCCGGCCATAATACCCATTTTATCTGTCATTTGTTTACCCAAAAACCATTTTTGACTTTCTAACATTTGAAAGATGGTCACCATCCTCTGTAGCAAGTTTAGTTCTGGAAATTAGTAGGATGTAAAATAACTGATCTTTTATTATATTTTAAATAAATTCTTAAGCATAAAAAATACTTTAAATGATATATTTTGAAAAAGTAAAATCAGTAGTTAATATATTACTGATATAATATAGATTAAAATTTAGCTCACAGTGATATTTTTTACATTAGAAAATATAAAAACATCAAAAATATATGTGAAGAAATTATAAAATAAATTTTATTGTTTTCTATAATATCTTTCAATTTTTAAAACTTTTTAAATAAAATATTATATTTTATATAACAAATAACTATATTTTATTAAACTTTTAGAATCTAAAGATTATTTTGTATTTAATAACAAATAAATCATTTTACTTAAATTTTTTCTAATATATTTGTATAAAATTTATAAATTTAAAATTTGTATACATCTAATGAGTTTTTAATATTATTTAAGAATGTATATACTTGTTTGAACTTCAATTTCAATGATAACCCTCAAAAGAATAATTATGTCTTGGCATGTAATATCTGCCAAATATTTTATATTTAATTTTTTCATAGTTTATATTATAATATTATGAGTTTGAATGGGACTATAACAAGTGATGTGAGTCAATTTTTGAATTAAATAAGTTTAACTTGTAAGTAAATGTTTCAAATTTAAAACTTTCTTTTGAATTGACTATAACAATGAACTAGTAACCATATCATTGCAATTAAAAAATATTTTTGTAACAGTACTTATGATATTAATATTTTTCAAATAACTCTCCTTAAAAATGATTAGAATTAACCATTTCTACTGTTATTTTAACCACCAAATCTATAAACTCCAAAATTTGATTAATTAGTGTTGCTTGATTTAATTGATTTATATTTATTTATTAAAAAAAAATTATATACATATTTTAGAATTAATATTATTTTATTACAATTAAATTAATTTATTACGGTTGAAAATATAACTAATAATTTCCATTAATTTTAAAAAATAAAAAAAATGATCTTATATCAAAATAATGGAGATACTCTTGTATAAAAAGTAATTGTAAGTAAAAATCTTATGTGTTTCATACATGGCTGTTATGTACTTCATATGTACATATCTAGTATTAAAAGATAAAAAGATAAGCAATATTTTTAATGAAAATAAGTTATTGGTGTTAAAATATTCTTAATTTCTAATTAATAATAATGTTTAACATAAAATTAATTAGTGTCTTTATTGCTATAAAAAATTTGATCGAAATATCAATTTGTTTATGTTACAACTTTTTTAGTTGTAACTAAATTACGTTAATATCCTATATTATATTGTATAAGTAAAATAAAGTTAATATTTTTGTACCTGACAAAAGTGACTATTAAATAAGCAATTGTATAAATTATAGTAATTCTAGTTCCTATAAAATATCACTCACAACATTTTAGCTATTAGAGTCAATATATTAGTATATACAATTTTTTTGGGTTGGTCAGTATGTGTTTAGCTCTGATAATGTTAACATTTTTCCCAAAATACATGTATGCATGTATACATGTTTTAATATTTTTTGTGTCTTTTAGAGTTGAAATTAAAAAAAAAAAATTTTAGTTTTAAATAAATATTTTAAATAATATAAGCCATAAGTGATAAATTCTTATCATATATTTAGATTGATAAAAATAGAAAGTACATAAAAATTCCCTGCTAAAGTAAAATTGTTACTTTTTATCTAATATTTAATATTCCATGTTAAAAAAATAATATTTAAGTACTTAAATAAAAGTTGAATTTAATTTTTTAACCTATTTTCACCTATTATTTGCAAAATAAATACAATATTTTTTAAATATTGTATTTATTTATATTGCGAGTAATTTAGTGTATTCTGATAGTCTGAACAACAAATATAAATCAAATATTGTTTTTAATTTTGTGATGTTAAATTTATCATATTTAGTTTTTATTTTTTAAGCCAAAAATGTTTCCCTTTCTTGGCTTATAAATAAAATTTATTACCTTAAATTCATAAATTTTATTTATCTAGCTTATATACTTATATCCTATATACTTTAACCCATTTGTTAACAACTACTATTTTCACACTATCAAAACTCAAAATTTCTATTAAATAACTCGATAACTAAACCTCTCTTTAAATACTTTAGTTTTTATTGATAGTTAGTTTGTAAGGATACATCTATTCTGCTTTTATTTAGTTTTGTAAGATTATTATTATTATTATTATTATTGGGTAGTTATTTGGTATTCGGTTTGTATTTACATTTATTATTCAGAACATAATTGAAGTAGATGTTATAATAAGTTCTAAGTTTAAAGATAATTTTTAAATATAACTTTTTATTTTAATAGACAAAAAATCGAGAAGAACAACAAAACCTTATGAACCAAATTCATAACTTACAAGAAGAAGCAATTCATTTTCATGAAAGAGAAACCAATTATGTAAAGTATATAAGAGAGCTAGAGCAAAAAACTGAAGATCTCGAAAAATTACAAAGGTTGATTTTATATTTATAAAACTAAAAAATTATTAAAGCTTAATAATTATGATGACATGTACAATGTGTATTTAAGTTTATAATATTCTACAAAATAATTAATTTATTGAATTATTTAAGTAATTCTAATAAACTTATATTTAAAAGATCGCAAAAAGTCATAAATTTATGTTAATGTTTTATTTTATAGAGAAACATGTGCTTCATTGGGTGATTTTGAGATTAAAATGAATGATGCAATTGAAAGGAATGCTCTTCTTGAAGTTGAACTTGATGAAAAAGAAAGTTTACAAGCAATGGTTCAACGGCTAAAAGATGAAATAAGTGGTGTGTTAGAAATTGTTCATTTGTTATTTAATTTTTAAAAATCTAACTGAAAGACTTATTAAAATGAAAAAAAAGCTTGTAATTTAAGTACTTATGATGAACATTTAAATGCATTTTTAATTTATTATTACAGTAAAATTTATTGTCAAAAAATGTATGAAATCATTATATTAACTAAATTTTATTCATATAGTTGTTATTTATTCATTTGTACTACATTATAAAAACAATGTTATATTTACAGAACTCAAACAGGAAATTCAAAGCAAAGAACGAAAGTTAAATCCAGACATGAATGAATCACAAGCTGCTGCTGCGGTAAGACGGTGTAGTAGTTTCCGAGCTGCTGTTGACAATAGATTGTCATCGTCAGCTGATAACACACCCCGAAGTCATACCAAAAGTCAGTATTGTATTTATTAAAAATTTTAATGTTACAATGAATAACTTAACTAATTTGTTTATTATTTAGGTTTAAGTGGAAATGTTATGTTTCATTCCCCACCTGCTAAGTTAGCTAGAGTTGGTGATATTGTAGGAGATCTAATGAGAAAAGTAAATGTTAGTATATAAAGTTTTCTGTTATTTTTTATAACTTATACTAGTATTAGAATTAATTATTTTGTCAACTTTTAGATGCTGGAAGTAAAATTAATGGAATCAAAACATGTGAATGTAGCAAAAACTCAAAATTGTCCTTTCTAACAAAACGCTTTGTGGCAGACCTTACCAGGGTAGGCCATTTATAGTGAAAATTAATATAATAATTTGTACATAAGTATTATTTTTGTTTCCTTGAAAATATCATGTGTAGATGTTTCAATTTCATATTTGTATATTTATTTTAAGTTGGTATAATTTTATACAGCGTATAGTTTTACATCTAAAAAGGTTAACATGCTTGAAATTTTTATACTTCCAGAACACAAATGCTTATGTAAAACTTTGTTTTATTGATGTTTTTAATTATAAATTATTTATATACATAAATATAAGTACATAGTTACAGAATATGAGTTTGTATATTTATATTATTTTGCTTATAGATAATGATAAAAGATTGGGCTTGTATAATAATATACATAAATTTATATATATATATATATATCCCTGTTATATAGAAATAATATTTTATGTTTGTACAAATTCTAAATATTGTATGTAAATTCAATTGTTAAAATACATTATTAAATGTATAAATAAGATATTGTTACACAGAAATATGTAAATTCTTAAACCCATCCCTTTGTCAAATGTGTTTTACAATAAAAACTGAAATGTCTTAATTAAATATTGTATAAATTTATTCACATTTTTATCATATGCTGACTAGACTAAATCACTTAATTTTTAGAACACAAACCAATTTTTTCTCAATAAGTGGACAAAAACTTATAAATACTATTTTTAAAAAGTGCACTGTGGCCAAATGAGAAGAATTACTGAACAATTCTTAATAATATTCTAAAAACAAATGCTAATCAATATAATAAACCAATTAATGACCTAGTTACTCTTTACAAAAATTTTTTAACATTGAATATTAAATTAGTGGTTTTTAAATTGAAACCATAACAATAGTTGATTATTTTAGGAGTAAAATAATAGTTAAAATAGAAACAATAAAATAATATTCCCCAGATATACAATTAATATTTTACAAAATAATAAATATTTTTTTTACAAAAAAAATCATGAGAAGTCACAGACATAGAAATATATACTGATTTTTCCTACAGAAATTAAACAGTAATGTTATTTTTATAAAAAGTATCACAGATAAACACTGTACATTTTATGGCACCACGGAGAATGATAAAATATATACTCAGGAACAAATTTATCACAGTATCCATTCTAAGAATGACCCACCGAACCAAACAGCGACAACTGGTAACAAATACGTAGCAACAGCTTTTCGCAAAGACATCTTAACTCTATTTCCAGAGCTGGAATCTGTATTGGTAGTGCGCGAATAGATGTCATTACTGTCAATTGTTTTAAAAGTGCTAGTTGTTATTGAATCAGTTGTAGTTGTCGATGTCGAAGAAGTAACATCAATGACTACAGTAGCTGGCGTTTCAGAATCATCTTCGCCAGCTCCATCACCAGATGAAGCAATTGGTCCAATTCCGCTAGATTCTCCTCCATGGAATACTTCTTCCATGTCCCACTCGACATCAAGTCCTTGGTAGGCGTTTTTCAACAGATTAGTTAAAGCTTTTAATGCGAAAACTTGTTCGTTGAGTAAACTGCTTGGTCGTTGCATATCAACTAAAACTTCAGGATTTCTTTTTTGATTTTTGATACCGTCTTTCATAACTTCTTTCGTGTAACTAAAATAAATACGCATGATAATTATTTAACCATACAATATTAAATAATAAATTATTACGTTAGCTGACTATTTCAACTATTAATAGTATATTATATGTATAGTGTAATATAGTATTAATTATAATGTAGTAGAATTAAATATTAATTCATTAATAAAAAAAAATAGTACCTTGATAAAGCTGATCCATTCCAACATGTAGCGTTTTGCGAATTTACTGCAAGCTCATTGCATACTTCGTAAGGTAATCGCTTCCAAAAAGTCTTTTTGGATTCTACATCATTTCCAATATCTTTTAAAAGCCTGTGAAAAGCATATGCGGGAGTATCTTGATCTTCTTCTTCTTCGTCTTCCAAGCGGTTGTTTTTATTATTTTTCTTTCGGCCTTTGTTTCCTCCGTTACCACTGTTTTTCGGAGCATTATTATTATTGTTATTCTTGTTTTTTCTTTGTTGAGTTTTCCTGCCATTATTTTCCCCAGGGATGTTATCGCGTTTATCATTGTTTCTGGTCACTGTTGGCCTTTTGACTTCTTCATATTCTTCATCTTCGTCATCGTCGTCGTCGCCTTCATCGTCCCGATTTTTATTGCCGTCATTCATTACTCTTTCTTGCTCTTCGTCATAATAGTCTCCATCATACATTTCGCTATTGCGTTTTTTTCTTCGATGAGCGCCCAATGTTGGTTTACCACAGTTCGAAAACACCTATGGACAAAACTTTATTACTTTACTTCAAAAACACTAAGACAATACTTTAATTATTTTCCTGGATTATCAATTAATCTAATACAAATCAGAAGATACTTACTTTTTGTGAAACTTTCTGCGCATTTTCTTGGAAGTTCATTATACCTTCAGATATTTTAACGTTAATAGGAATGACTACTAATTCTATGTTGAATGGTCCCAACAACCGTTTTCGTACTTTTTCCATTATATCTATAAAAAACATGTATTCAAATAAATTTACATTTTTAAAATTAAAAAAAAACAATATATATCTGTTTGTAAATTTAAGTATCAAGTCTATAAACTTAAACTTGAGTAAATTATTTACCTAAAAATGCGTTCCAGTCTTGGTCAAGTTGTGAATGATAAGCTAAACATCCTTTCATTACATTTAAACAGTATCCGTTACAAGCTCTACTATCTTGAAGACCTTTACACGCTGGACATTGTGTCATCCTTGTAAATCCTACTAGACATTCTTGGGTGGGCATCAACTATAATAAAAATAACTATCAATAAACAAGTAAAAATATTTATGAACGAAGAACACATGTTTCATTTATAACAGTAATCAAAAATAATAATAATAATTTAAAGGGCGCAAACCTTGTTGATGTTGGCCAAAATTTCACCAGCTATTTTCAGAGCCTGGACGTAAGTTCTGGAAGCGACAAAAGAACGTTTCAGTGGTGCTGACAGTTTATCTGGAACATCTCCAAAAGGCGCTACTTCAGCCATACTCTCACTCAGACACACTAAATACCTATGAAAATAACAAAATATGAGTTATTAGAAAATACTTAAGTAAATATTTTTATTTTGTTAATACAAATTCATTTAATCAAAAATATAAATAACAAATACAACATTTTTAAAGATTACATTTGCAAACTTACTTAGAGTCGAAAGTATATTGGCTATTCATGACTGTAAACATTTTTTGACAAAGCACAGAAAAAAAATTTTCGAGTACTTCTATGATATTGGAGTTACCGGAATCATAATATTTCTCCAAATCACGAAACAAGTCTTGAAACAAGTAGGAATTTTGTTCATACATCATTCCGTAGGTTTTTTTGAACATATCATGGAATCCTATTCGAGCTTTGTTCAACATATCTTTGAAGTATTCTGTAAAAATAAGAATAATCATAATTTTACTTTCCATCGTCAAGTGATTATTCAATAAAATAAATACATTTATTAAACATTAGATAATTGATAACGAAGTATATTAACCATAGTGTATACGGTTAACTTATAAATTAGAGTGATAAGATATTATAAAATAAAAACGAAAATATTATTTTTCAAGATATTAAATTAAATTTAAAATATAAAACAGTTACCATCAAATTTAGCAGCTTTCTCTTTGTACATTACACTTAATCCTTTAAGCGAGGATTGCAATTTTTCCTCATATAAATTTCGACCGACCGTTGCCAGTTGAAGTTCAGAATTTTCACCGCAACAAGAATCCTGAGATTTCCCACAAATTTGTAGCTGGACATCTGAAAAATAAATTTAAAATAAGATAAGTGAACTCTTGTTTGAATTTGTTTATACTTAATGTATTACATCGATATAACGATGGTTTTGTGCTGTAATTACATTAAATAAGTACTTGGGATTCAACGGCCAACAAGATAAATGACTATTGACATTGTAAAGTGTGTAATTTATGAATAGGAAATGGGCACAATGAGTGTTCCCTAATATTTCAGAGGTCGCAGTTACGATTTTAATTCAAGTACAATTATTGACTATGCGGGGCAAGCCTAATCGTTTTCAGAGGCCAACACTTTAACAAAACGTATCCGTTAAAATTAAATAAATTAGTCTCCTTTTAGACGAATGAGCTGATTACTTTAAATAACGATACTCGTGTACGGTATTTTCGTGTCCACCATGTTTTAATCTTTTAAAATAAATGTTCATTTTCCGTTTAACAGACATTTAATTTACTTATGTTCTTTTCGCGCAGTAATACTGTAATATTAGACAAAGAATAATTTATAGCCATGCGAATAAATGTTTAAGTAAACGTCTAATATGTTTAATAACAAGTTTTCGTATAACGTATACACAATTTTGGTTAATTTCAGTTTGGGTCTAAGGATAAACATTTTTTTCATACGCACGAGAAGAGCAATCCTATTATTATCGTCCTCATCATGACGTTTATAAAGTCAAGAGAGAATTAACAATAACTTGTGTGTGCCGCGTTTTTTCAAGAGCTTTTCATTATAACCCGCGACGGCTTCTCTCGAAGATTCGTTATACCATTAAGTCTGGTGTTTACATTAAACAGTTAAACAGATTATATTAATACTTAAAAGTATAAGACAGGAGGCGGCAACCCTCAAGCAATAAGAAATCTGAATCCATTAGATTTTATTATTTCGGTCTGGGAGCGTAGTGAGAAATTTAATCGGTGGCGACGACGATGGTGATGACGGATTACAATGATTTTTATTTTTTTATTATTATTATTCGTGTGTTATTTGTATTTTTTATTTGGTAGTCCAGCACCACGCTGTGTTTATGTTCCTCGACATACGCTTGTATATGCGGTCGGTTTGTGATACTATGTGAAACCGGACGGCCCCACAGCTTATTAGCCGTTTCGATTGTGTATAGACTACGGAAAATGTAAACACCAAAAGGAAATCACAATACAACATTGAAATTTTGAAAAATAGAAGCAGAAGAAGCTGTGGAGGTGGCAGTCGGGGAACGTATTAAATGATCAGGAAGCCGTAGCTAGTCAATTTGTTTATATGTGCACGCGTCAAACAAGAATATTGGTTTCTGCGGTCAACGGCCAATGATCCCGTTTCCTTATGCGTAAAAAACCGTATTGTGCTTAGGACATTTATTTAGAACATCCGTTGATAATTGCCAAGTATCTTTGAACTGGTAAAGAGTGATTTTTTAGTACAATTATCTTAACGACGAAGTGTTTGTGGCGTCGTAAAAGTTCTCAGTTTTGATGGTGTAAAACGAGTATTTTTTTATTTGAAATGATAGTAAGGACACATCTATCGCGTGTATTTATACGAATTTAAGTTATTTTACAGTAATTCAACAAACTAATGATTAAACCTCGCCGCAGTCGGTCACTATTGGAGCCAGCAGTTATCAGGAGTACATTAATACAATTTAGGCGAACCAGTATATTATTATTAAACAAACCACGTTTGTTCGTGACAATCTCAGCCGCTCAAGTTGCGAGTCGCGACCACACAGGATGAGTACATAGGAGGAGAAATCTTATTCCAATATTTTATTTAAAAGAAAGCCAGCCATAGGAAATAATGCAGCCGTTGTGTTTTATCGAACTAAAATAAAGAAGACATATTACATTAATGAGTATAAAGTGTGTGCGCTCGTCTATATAAAAGCACACTATAATATTCACAAGGGCGTCGAGTTGTAATAACAATAATAATATAATCGGCGTGGAGTAATGAAATAATAATTACACAATCCTACAGTGAATCAACGCAGCCTTTAGTCTTACATACAATTATACTTATATTTATATACATATATATATGTACAGATGAACCGTAATAACAATAATAATAGCAACAATATTACCTTATGAACGAATTACGCAGGCTTATATATATCATATACACGTACTGTGGGTGGCCGAACAAAAAAAAATATGATACGACTACTTTTCTCTCATCCGCCTATAACGATAATTGCCACCTTTTTATACAATGTGCGCGCGTGTATGTATGTATTATATAATAGTGTAAAGATTTTGGCTAACGTTTCCATTCTTTGGCGGTTCGACAAAAGTCATAAGATTATATTAAACGAAAAAAAAAATCGTCGGCACTAACGTAATCTCTCTATGACTCACGCGCTCGTTTTCCCGTTATTTCGTGTTTTATGGTTCCCAAGGTTGTATTTTAAGGGATTTCCCCCTTAGAAAATCCAATGGTAGTCTTAAGAGCTCAGTGCAGAATACCTTCAATCTTACCATTGGAAATTCACGTTTAACCGGAGAATCGCATTTTTGTTATTGAAAAGTTTTTATTTAAAAAAAAGAAATAAAATAAAAGTCGACATTACTCAAGCGCAACCGTAAGCTCTGAAATGTGGTAATTTGATTAAACTAGAAAGTTTTAATCAACCTAACGAAACCTACAATAATTCGTTAAAATATAAAATCGACCGAGGTGGTATTGTATAGGCAAGTCAGAAGAATTTTTTTTTTTAGTACTTGGAGAAACAATGTGGAATGCTCAGCGGATCAGATACTTGCACAATACATAAATAGTTTACACACAGTCAATTATGACTAGAGGGAAACTGAGTTCACTCGCAACAGTAATAATCACGATATAATTGTTTTATTGAATTTTATTATACAAAGAGGTACAAAATCGTGTATTCCGATCAGAGTATGCGTTGATCGCATTGCAGCAGATGAACGGGATTGGAAACTTCACACGGTAACTATGATTGACGATTCAGTACTATGTAAACGATAATATACTATTGCATTTTGTTTGAATTCTTTAGATAACATACGCAGTGCACTAGCATGTGCGTAATTGCAATGCAAAAACAATCTGTCTTTTTGGTTCTATTGTTTGACGGAATACAAAATCATTGAAATTGTCCTCAAAGAACGAGTTTATAAAGGAAGAATTTCTGATCTTTAAATATGAGATGAATACTTGTGAGATAATGCAAGTACAAAAAGGTTTCAATAAGTTCACGCTGTAATACAACTTCTTTAAAATTAAATAAGTATACAATTCATGCTAACGTGGATTATATTTTTCTAAAATGGTTTATAGTCAAAGTTAAACGTACTTAAATAGGTTATATTTTTAGGTAAATAGCGTGTCCATTGTCCCACCGAATGCGAATCTTGTTCGTAGAGTAAGCCGTGCGTGAAGTAATACATAAAAAAAAAAAATTCAAACCGTTCATCGAATATGAATGAAGTTTTTTTCCCCGTAGACAGTTCCTTTTTTCAATAAAGACCGTATCTTTACTATAACTTCAAACCGACTAAATGTACCAAAAAATTATTATACTGTCCGTCCGGAAATATAATATATTTTTTTTTCATAAACAAGCAACAGTTCAAAACATTGATTAATATTTCATGAAAATGTAATTTCCAACAATTACTCGAGAATTTTTTATCGAATAAAATATATAATACACAAAAAATAATTTGACTCTCATTAGCACACATAAACGACGATTAATTGCTTGCTTAATTATGGATCGAATAAATGTTGAGCGCACTAATTGCATCGCAGATGTTTACACATTACTAACGTGACATTAACGATTCGCACTTAAGCTCATTTGCTGAGAAATGAGAGTTTTCAAGTACCCACTTTGAACTTCTCACGCCTCTCGCCTCTTTTTACCCGACGACTCCATCTCTTACATTGCCTCAGTGAATTTCAATAAAATATAAATTATGAAATATGTATACGCAGGTATACTCGGAATTATTTATATTTATCGTACGCACTACAATTGTATTCTTTTCACTTAACCATTTCAATACTCGTCAACCCTTTTGACATAAAATATGCGTTCAGTCATGCGAGCACTGCATTTCTTCTTTCACTCGATAGAACGACATTAACATTTCAATAATTACCTTATTTCGTTCTAAATCATTATTCATCTTTATAAGATCAACATAAACGTTTGAAGATGGCACAAAAGTAAAACTCCAGTGATCGGTATGATCACTGGAGATACAACGTGTGGTATACACGTTGATTAATTATATTTATTCGATAAATATTCCTGGAAACCGATACCTCTTAAAATACATTAAGTACACCTTATTGAAAGAAATGTTTTCAGAAGAGAATATTTTGTGTCTAAATCAGTAAAAAAAGTGAACCGTCTTAATTTGCATTAGTTTATTATAGGCAATCACCGAACCAAACATCAAAGGTGCCCCTGCCGCCCGTGTCTAATCGGCGTGCAATGTTTACCGGCATACAGTGACCACCATTCCTATGGAAATACGGTTCCAAAATATGACTATATACACACCGAAGTCGGTATTACAATGTGTAAATGTGCAAGTTGCATACACGATCGTGTGTCTTATAGACGTTTTGTATCGATAAAACTAAAAAAAAAAACTATCAAGGTTACCACCGGTGCTTCAAAAAAACTCGTTCGCACATTAGTCATTCATTGAAGTCATTTTGATTTTTTATTATCATTTTCATTGTCATAAACCGTAGTGAAACATGCCCCTCCTCGTTGCCATCGTTTATAGTCCGTTGATTTATCGTGCCTAGTCTTTTTGTTTTATGTCCAAGTACACAATGCGCAGGCTAATATAATGATTTTATATCCGTAGAAACACGCGAATAATGCGGTCAGGTACAGGTTACGTGTATATACTGCAGGTATGTAGTGTAATCGTACAGGGAGCACTGGCAGGCGGTGGGTGGAATAGGAAAAACTCTCACGAGAAGACTGCAACAGAAAAAATAAC